CCTTTTGATTTTGCAGAAGAAGCCACCACGTGAGAATGATCACAAGCAGATAAGTAGCAGCTCCTCTGGAAGTCTTTCTCCAAATGCTACTGTGCACAGTCCTAAGCATGAATGGAAGATGATTGCTTCAGAAAAAACTTCAAGTGAGTATCAGAGGAAGAGGGGAGGTTGTCTAAGGGATGCATTATGTACCTGGCTCCCTTCCAGTCTGCAGGGATTCCACGTCTGTGAAGGTGTTCGTTCTTGCCGAAGATTTGAATCGAGTAATCTGCCCAGTAGTGTGTGGGCCATTTCTAATATAACTGGGGCCTGCATTTTGGTTACATATCAAGGGGCATCTGGAATCTTGTAGTGTGTACACTTGACCCAGAAAGTCCTGAGGAGGTGGGCAGTTTGGTTAATTAGCAGAGCTATTTGCTGTGCATTGGAGGAGACTCCTGCCATTACTTTAGATTACTGTCGTATGTGTTAGTAGCACACAGTGTTTTTTAGTAACCAGGCTAACACTTGAAACTAATAACCATAAAAAATAGTACAAAAGGCTCTTTACACTTAGGAGAGAGGCATGGCCAAAAGGACCTAACTGGCAGTCTGGTCTTCCTTTCTGTTCTCTTTGCTGTAGGCAACACGTACCTGTGTCTGGCAGTTCTGGACAGTGTTCTGTGTGTGATCTTCCTGCACGGCCGTAGCAGCCCTCACAGCTCTCCCACAAGCACGCCACGCCTGCTGAAGAGTCTGAGTTTCGAGCTGCAGCCAGACGATTTAATAGAGAAGCCCATGTCTCCCATGCAGTATGCTCGGTCAGGGTTGGGCACAGCTGAGCTTAATGGCAAGCTAATTGCTGCAGGTAAAATAAACACTAACCGTTCTTTTATATAATAGTAACAATAATAAAATTGCTTGATCTGGGGGGGGCTCAGTAAGCAAGTGAAGCAATTAATCTTTGGAAATTTGGTACCATTTAATGTTTTGCCTTTTCTGTTAGGTGGCTACAACAGAGAGGAGTGTTTGCGTACAGTGGAATGCTATGATCCACAGAAGGACGCATGGACGTTCATCGCGCCTATGAGAACACCCAGAGCTCGGTTCCAGATGGCCGTTTTAATGGTGTGTGGAGATGAGGTGAAATGTTAAGACTATGTAAATGTAGGTGGGACAAATATTGCAAGCTTCATAAAATGGTAACAAAAGTTGATTGTGTTCACAAGATGAGTAGAGATAATGAGTTGAATTGTTGCCTACTTGTAAGTGAAATGGGAATTCATGTTTTCCATTTAGGGGCAGCTGTATGTTGTGGGTGGGTCAAACGGTCACTCGGATGACTTGAGCTGCGGGGAAATGTATGAGCCAGAAATAGATGACTGGACTCCTGTTCCAGAACTGAGAACCAATCGCTGCAATGCAGGTAATCGATCTGCAGCTGATGAACAGCTTTTGTTTTTTCTTTATTAATTTAATAGCTTGCTTACTCTTATTTCCTGTTACCAATAGGAGTGTGTGCCCTGAATGGAAGATTGTACATTGTTGGTGGTTCAGATCCTTATGGCCAAAAGGGACTTAAGAACTGTGATGTGTTTGATCCCATAACAAAATCCTGGACAAGCTGTGCCCCCCTCAATATCCGTAAGTTTACTGTGCAGATGAGAATAGTAGAATCATGGAATTCCTCAGGTTGGAAAAAGCCTTAAAGATCATCAAGTCTAACCACAACCTGACCACACTACCCCAACTCTAACAGCCCTCCGCTAAATTGCGGCCCTGAGCACCACATCCAGATGGTTGTTGAGTCACCAGGCCTGGATGTGTTTAACACCCCCCTGGGGAGGGAGGGGAAGGAGATTGTAGATTCAAAGCAGCTGAAATTTACAGGTTTTTTTGTTATGGTGTGCTGTTAGTGCAGGGCCTCTGTGCTGAGCTTTACCTTCTGGCATTTGCTTGTAGGGAGACATCAGTCTGCGGTGTGTGAGCTGGGGGGCCACCTGTACATCATTGGTGGGGCAGAGTCGTGGAACTGCTTAAGCAGCGTGGAGCGCTACAATCCTGAGAACAACACCTGGACCCTGATGGCACCCATGAACGTGGCTCGGAGGGGAGCTGGAGTGGCTGTGCATGATGGTAAGCGCACATGGGCTTAAGCAACCTCATTTGCTTCCTGAATTTGTCTTTGAGGAAACATGATAGAAAGAACTTGGCTGTGCCTTTAATGAATTAAAAACTGTGACCAGAAAAATAAATATTTATATATTTATTTTAGGAGCATCAGCTCTGCCCTTTCCTTTCAAGTTATCACACTGCAGATTCCAGACTGTGACTGTTTGAAATTAGGCACTGGAAATTATTTCAGAGAAATCAGCTCTAACGAACAGGATAACCTGGCTGACCAGTGCCATGACTTCAGAGCTCGAACAAGTGAAAGTTTCTGACAGGAAACCTCAAGCTCTTTCATTGTGGTGTGATCTCCCTTGAAAAAGGGAGGCTGTGGTTGGAAATGTAGAGGATGCTTAAAACTCCCATTTTTGTCTCCTTTGGACAGGAAAACTTTTTGTTGGAGGAGGATTTGATGGCTCTCATGCAGTGAGCTGCATGGAGATGTATGACCCTGCTAAAAATGAGTGGAAGATGATGGGAAATATGACCACTCCAAGAAGCAATGCTGGGATTACAACAGTTGCAAACACTATTTATGCTGTCGGGGGATTTGATGGCAATGAATTCCTGAACACAGTTGAAGTCTACAACCCAGAATCAAATGAATGGAGCCCCTACACAAAAATTTACAAGTTTTAAGTGAATTAAATTCCCATTTTAAACTAACAGGCTTAGTGATGTAATTGTGTTTTAGTAGAGGTACACATGTGAATAGGGCTGGGGAGGGCGTAGATGTTGCCAACAGCAACACAGAGCTTTTGCATATTGCATATTAATGTGCTGTACATATTTGTTTTGGGAAGAATATTGAGATGAAGGGGTTTCTGGTATATTTTAGAACTTCATTTTAGTTTTTTTTAAAAGACTTTGAAGATACTGCAAGAGAACCCAGACTGGGCCTGTCATTTCAGGAGCTTCCTCCAGTGTTTGTTTTTGTCACTTTGCACATGAAGCAACTTTCTTTTCTCGCAGAGTGTTCCTGAGGCAGGAAGTGCAAGGACTGGGGAATAGTTTTCTCATCGGGCCTTGTTTCTCTTCAGTAACTGAAACAATCTGTAACAAGCCTTATTTAAACAGATATAATGTTTTTTTGTTTTGTTTTGGTTTTTTTTTGTTTTCTTTTTTTTTGTTTTTTGTTTTTTAATTAAAAAAATATATGCCTGCTACTACCTTATCTTTTATGATTGTCTTTTTATAACAGTTTTTATATACTCAGCAGAGCATTTTATCTGTTGAAATAAAAATGGCAGATAAAGTTATTGAAGCAAGGAGGCAGCCTTGGACTTCACAGTGAATAAGTCCAACGACTGATTTACCTCTGTACGTGAGCTTCTGAGCTTTTGCCTCTGCTACAGCATTGCAACTTAGCATGCAGAACTTTGGTGAGATGGGAATGGAGTTTCTGAACGTGATGTAGCTCTGAGTTTCCAGTATGGGAAGCTTATTTTGGCTCCAAATACTTTGACAAAAATGCAGAGGGTGATTTCTGTACAGCAGTTTTGTTACTATGGTTGACCTAACATTTGTAAAACAAACTTTAAGTGTGGGGTTTTTCTCATGGTTTTTAAACTATTTCTGAGTTGGCAATGAAAATGTATTCATCCGATCTGTTTAGTAACTGTCTTTTTTTTTTTTTCTAATATTACAAATTTAAACTCTGGTAGGACACATCAAGTTATGTGCTCATAGTACTATGTTTAGTTCATTTCTTCTGTTCATACAGATAATGCGTTGGCTTGGATGACTAAATGTGTCTAAATGAGTAGTTTCTGCACATCTAACTCCAGGTGCCAAAAGCATCACTTACGGCTTGCTGATGATGCAAACACATTAAAGGTACCTTTTGGGAAATCCTTGCACCACAGGGTTGTGTGCGGTGTCTTTGTGTTCTGTTCTTTAGTGCTGTAAACTGTCCCTAATTAAAACAGAAGTTCAGGTGTCCCTGTGTGTAGCACCTGTAACTGAGCCATGGACTGAGGGAACCACAAGGGTGAGGGCCTCCACGTGCCTCCCACCATGCTGATGGTACTCGCACCTGGCTTGAGGAGAACCACTGTGCTTGTCCCAGGGAGCTGCAGCAGCTGCCAGCTGCCTCCTTGCTACGTCCAGCTGCTGCTCAACTCAAGAAAACTGCTGCTTTGTGTTCTGTGTAAATGGAAGTGAGGTGATGTAACAGGAGCTGAGGTGAGAAATCAGCCCCACAACTGCAGCATTGTAAGAAATTCTGCACTTCAGGCGTGTTCCAAAGTATCAGTCAAGTAGCTGTGGGAAATAAAGCCTGTGGTGCTTTGGATGCATGGATGCTTATGGTGGCACTGCATTCTGAATTTACTGCTTTGACTCGCATCTCTACAAGGCTACAAGTACTACTAGGAACAGGCTTCAGCTACAGTCCTTCTGTTTCACATCCCAGAACATGTTAGTAGAATGCTAAGGCTATTTAGTGAAGCAGAGAAACTGAAGAGAATTATTGTTATCCCAAGCTCTAAAACGGAGTGTATTCTAACAAGGAGAGTCTGCATGAGAAATCCAAAGTAGTTGTGGTGATCAGTCTTCCTCCAAAGTTTATCAGAGCTGTGAGCCTTCCTCCTTGGTTAAGCAAAGCAAATACAGTGTGCTTAAGTGGCTCTAGTTTCCTACTTGTGTGGTACAAACTATCAGGAAAGCAACTTAGACAGCTATGGGACAACAATTTCAGTGAAAATATCCCCCAAAATGAATAACTTTTAGAGGCCATAAGCTTCACTTCAGTTAAGGAGGAGAAATGCACTAGATTGCTCTCCAGGGAGTTAGGCAGAGTGAGAAAAGAGTTGATGAAAGCAATGCTGTCATTGAGAATTAACTGACATTCATTATAACAATATATTAAATTTTTATAGTAAACATTTTACAATCCAAAAGTTAATATCAAAATAAACACTTGCTGAACTTTACCAGTCATCTGTCTCTGTACAAATACATAAAAGAGGTAGGTTTAAAGACCACAGCAGCTTTGGAAATGGCTTTTAGAAAGTTTTGTTGACTTAATTAAAGCAGTTTTGGAGAGCAACAAACAATAGATTTGAATAGAGTTGTCACCTGAAAGCAGGCAAACCACAAGTACAACACAGAGGGAAAGAGATGACTTTGTAAGAAAAGAGGATGAGAAGAATGAGGAATTCACCGAAAGTGTTTCTCTAGCAAGTTTCTACTGTACGAAGATTAAGTGGATATTTTAAAAAGAAAAACACCACTTTCAATTTGATAACATTTTAAGGTTTTTTTTTTGTTTGTTTGTTTGTTTGTTTTTTAAGTATAATTCCGTTCAGGTTTCAATGCTTTTAACAGATTTGAGTTTTCAATGGAAAAGGTATTCAGGATCTTCTGACAAAAGCACTTAAAGAGAGGCCCAGGACAAACATCTACATGACAGTGAACATCAGTCCACTTCTTTTCTTACCTTCTCTGTCCAGCCTTAGGTAGTGCAGTATGCAGGAGGCTCGCATTGCATTTGTGTTTAAATCCCTCCTAGCTGTAAGAATGGCAAGCATCGTGCCTCTAAGGCTTTGCATTTAACTGTGCTCATTCCACTCCTTTCAAGAGCTTTGAATATCGTATTTTCTATTTTCCCCAGCACTTCCAAAAAAAATCAGCAAAAAAAACCCAGACTAACTGATTTTTCTATATAACCATGTAATCATTAGTAATAGTTCTAACTTCCAACTCACAAAATATCACAAAACTTTTATCAGACCTGAGATCTTCATTTGAAACAGGAAATGCTAATAGTTAAGAGTCAAAAGATCTTTTTTTCTTCCTTCAACTCAATTATAAAAAGCACCGTTGAAGAAAAAAAGAAGGCAGTTTTGGCTTCCTGAATATTCCCTCTCACCGCTCTCCTGTCTTCATTTGGACCAAAATCGAGGGGTGAACACTGTGGTTTCAGACCTTGTGATGTCACAGCCACCCCCTGGTCTTTGCTTCCATGTGTGCAGATGCATGATGCTGCTTGATGCTGTGATGCAGCTCAGCCAGCTGGCAACAGCCCACCTCTAATCTTCCTCTAGAGAAGAAAAGATGGTTATTAGGACACGAGAGACATCATTTTGTAGATAGGAACATTTCAGTATATTGCTTAAAAATTCAAAGGAATAAATTCTACTGTTGCACTTCAATACTGTCAAAAGCAGAGAATACTCAGTATCTCTGGAAATCTGAATGTTACTTTAAAGCAAAAGACTAAATTTATTCCACAGATAGCTAATCATTATGTGCTTTCAGCTGTACTCTGCAATGAAATGTTTAGAAAGGAACAGCCTTGAGGGTACACAGCAAGCATGACTTCATTCTTCTCAACACAAAACTGTCTTCGGCTCATACAAAACACTGCTGTTTCTCACGGGGTGAAAGAGCTACAAGTCAGCTCTGTACATTTCTGTCCCACAGGGTGAACGGGTCCGTCCCAGGCACGCTGCATCAGACTGACGCGGGCATGTGAGAAATCTGAACAGCTTCGCAGTGCACTCATTATCTACACTGCCGTTTCCAATAATGAACGCAAACCTGACCGTATAGGAAGCAGGCCAGTAGGACGAGGTGGTGGAGTTGTCCCTTACGTGGGAGGATGTGCAGCATGTGGAGCTTTGCCTCTGCTGGGCAATTGGCAGAACAGGGGCTGATGGGTACAGATGGCAGCAGACTGATGCTGTGACTGGGATGGCTTTGCCACAGCCTGCCTGATGGGTGGAGAAAGTGGATGAGGCCCTTACAGGCAGCTGCCAGCTACTCTGATGCCTGAGCAGCAGCACAAGCACGGTGCAGGGGAGGAGCCCATGGGAGCAGGTGTGCGGCCAGGCCTGACAGGACAAGAACTGAAACAGAGATGTGGCTGAGCATAGTGCCCTGGCACAGGCTGCATGGAGGCTGGGTAGCCACTCCTCAGGCTGCCCACTTGGGTGTGACACTAGGTGACGTGTTCATGGGCCCTGCTGAGCAAGGAGGTCAGGCTGGGTCATCCCCAGAGGCCTCTTCTACCTCAGCCATCCCGCAGTTCTGTTCTGTTACAGAAGCATAGGACACTCCCGGTTGGAAGGGCCCACGAGGATCGTGGAGTCCAGATCTGGGCTCCACACAGGACCACCCCAATCCAAATCCTGGCAGGTCACAGCTAAATCTTATCTATACCACAGATAGCACGTAAGGGGAACTCTGAAGAAAATATTTACCCACCTTTTAATAACCACTTTTGGTTTATTATAAGTAAATATTTTTTGGCTTTTTAAGAACTCCACTGAACTGGGATTTACAAATCCTGACTACACAAACTCAGGAAAAACTTATGAACCAGAAACTTTCCAGCGAAGAACTAAGACTTGCACATTTATTTCAGACTAATGTTTTTAAGGCCTTGAAAAACATCAGCTGTGCAACAGAACATTTATTTTCCTGCAACTGAACCATAAAAACCCTCCTAAAATAGATACAGTAATCAAAATCTTAAGTTGGCATCTCCATTTTTTTCCACAGTAATTACTAACCACAGAGTAACACACAATAGTGTAATTTATAGCCTTAAGAACAACGGCCACAATGCAGCACACAGCTGCACACATGCCCAGTTTCCGGTGCCACAGGGTTTGAAAACCACAGGCTTTTTTCCTCTGTGGACTTCAGCAAAGTTTTCACAGTGATTACGAGCTCAGTTGCAAAGAGAACTGCAGGTACACTGAAATTAATTTAAATGCTCTTCCATGTTCTAAGCCCCCTTGAATGGATGCTGACTACACTGGCCCTGCCCACTGCAAAACCAGCAGTGCAAAACCAGTACAGCAAGGCAGGCCCAACACCTCCCCTCGTGTCAGACACCTGGACAGCTCTGTGCCAGTGCTGCTGCCTCATCTCTAAGCACATCCTTCCCTCACCCACTCTAGTCTAAAAGCCTATAACAAAATTCTCCCCGTTTGTCTTCTCTATCCCTTTCCTACAGAAGCAATTATTTTACCTAACAGAATAAGTTCTCTTACTGCACTCAGGCCCACACAGTGCACGAAACCCTGCCCAGAACCCACCTGATTGATCGATAAGTGGCTTACCGATACAATTCCTGTGAGACACAATCATAGAGCTCCTCGGCAGAAAATACAATGCTGCTATTTATCTAAAACAAATAACAAAGAATTACTTGCAGTAATTTACCAAGTATTGCACACCAATTAAATTATGCAACTAGTATGACATACCATTACTGTATTACTTAACAGGCTCTCAAGCTGAGACTGTACATAAAAGAAAAAAAGTCACATGCAGCATAAAATCAATTATCACTAACTATTATGAGTGCATACAGTGTGACTGACAAATACCACTCCGGCCCCATTTTCTCACAATTCCTGCAAAAACGCACATCTTCCTTCCTTCTGTAATCCTAAAGCAACCTAAAGAAGTTCTGACTCACTTTAATTCCATGTATACAGTCATTCTATATGTGCAGGGCTGGAAAACAGTAATTTCTTCTATGGGAGAGGACCGAAAATCTGAAATATCTTTGTGTTCACAGGAAAAACACAGATATCCTATTGTAAGCACTTACTCATTTCCTCTTCTTAAAATCCTTCAGCACTGAAAAATTCAAGAAGAGCTAGTAATTTCTGTTTATCCTTTTTTAAATTTTTCTGCCAACTGTAGCCAGTATTCTCCACAGTCGAACGCTCCATCTTCTAAAAATGCTTATTAGCTCAGGCTGTTTTGGTGTCTTCAGCTTCGAGGCTTTTCTTACGAAACATTCATAACAAGTGAGTGCTCCAAAACTCACAGAAGCAACTCTAGTACTAGTATAGATTCTAATAATTTTTGTAGGTTTTGCCCAAGCATACATCTTAGGTCTAATATCCAGTAAAGTAAATAAAAGCTAATCTTCAAAATTCTACCTTAATGGCAATGAACTGCTAAGACAGCTAACCCCCTAAGTACTTTAAATCAAAATGAACTGAAATAGGAGTGCACCTGACAAGATGTTAAAGAAAACTTTATACCTCGAAGCTTATGAGGAAGTTATAGAGTGTCCAAATATCTTGGAAACTACTGTTTGGAGTCAGAACTCTGAAAAAGAAAAGGTTTTGTTTTTTTTAAGTATGCCAAAGGAATCCATGAAATAATTAAAAACCAGCAATCAGATACGCTTCATTAAAAAAAAATAAATTAGTTTCTTTAAACAAAAAATAAATTCTTAATTTTTGAAGATTTTTTCCTCCCACTCATCCCTTTCCATTTCTCAAGCCAGCCGTGTTCGTAGTTTTCTGAAGAAACCCAAGTAAAATGTGTTAATAAGCAAATAAATAACGTTAAATCCTCAGTGAACTTTATTATAGAGGTAGTCTGGAGAGTCACAATAATTCCTCCTGGGTTTATAACATAAGAAGAGGCCTAACATTTGGCTCAAAGCACTACAATATCTTCAAATGAAAGACAATTGTTTAAGGATCAAACACTGCAGTACATGGAATTCAGAAAAAAAAATTGGTAAGAGAAGAGCCTACACATTAACTTCCCCCACAAATCCTTAACAGGTCAACATTCATCCTCCTACTGCTGTTTCCAACTAAGCAGCAGTTGGACTACAAGCTCCAGGCCTGGAGCACATGGGCAGGGATTTTACACCGCAGCCACTATTTTAAAATTCCTTCACATTCCTTCCATCTCCAGTAGCTACCATTCTGTTCTATGGAAAGCAGAGACTTTATAAGAGATGTACGTTTGAAAAGCATGTTTTCATACATTTTTAGTCTGCACCTATTTAACCACTGCTGCTGCTTCTCTCCTAACATTACATCAAAAGTACTTCAAAAGCAAACCCATGGACACCCTTTGCCTTTCCAATTAGTTCTGCTGTGCAAAACCAAACTACGAATGGCCCTTTGTCACACACTGTAACTTCTGATTACTTCAAAAACTCTGCACTGAGCAACTGCTGGCAAGGCTGGAATGCCATGAAAATGCAATTCGTCATGGCTGTAGTGTGGGTCTGTGCAGCTTTCTGAATTCAAGTTACAGAGGCATGTTACACAGAGATACAGAACGCCAGTATGGGTGCCAGCTACAAAGCAGGAGCTAACTATTACTTCTGGAGCAGAGGGGAGGAAAGAGAGAACCAGACTTAACAATTTATACCTCAAAAGGTATAAAAACTGGGCTTCCCACCCCATCTGGGATGTTTGTTTCCCTACCAGCTATCAGACAGCTGGCAGGACAAATGCACAGACAGATATGACATCAAGAATGGACTGGAAACAGCTCACAACAGGATCCCATACCTGGCTGGGAAAAATGCAAAAGTCTATCTGGAAAGGATCAGAAAATTTACTCAGGGAGTAGAAGAAAAACACAATCTGGCAGGGAAAGCAGGTCAGCCTGCCAGCCACTAACAGACACTGAGCTCACAGACAATGAGACAGAAGGCATACAGACACAAAGCCAAAGCAGAATGTGCAGCAGCTGCTCTCAGAATTCAGCCTGTGTTCACTCTCAGATTTCCTCCTCCCTGAGCTGCACAGAGGCTGGCGTTGTCCAGCTAATGGAGCCATCTGATGGCAGCAGCCTGATGGACACAGGGCTCAGCCACGAAGCTAAGCGACTTCACTGCAGAAAAGTAAGCTTCTGGACACAGGGATCCGATCTTCTGCCTTATCTAGGGTATAGTGAGTGAAGAGGAACTGCCTTGGGCAGCATGTAAGATATGTAGGACAGTTAATGTTTACAACTAACAGAATGCATTCCTATGTTTTAATAGAAATATATTTTTTTTTTAAAAAAAAAAAAAAAAAAAAAGAGAAAAACCCCACAGAACGTGTGGGATATTTGACATTGTTTTTGTGAAAGCAATGCATCAGTCTGGTTGAATGGAAGGCATTGCCATCATCACTAAGTTCTCAAGGTGTTCGTCTGAAATTTTTGATTAACTTTTATTCCTCCTGTATTTCATCCTTGACAATAACTGTTTGCAAGCACACATTACAGCAAAAAGTGATGACACAAATCATACCAGATAGTGAAGTGTGGGGTATTATTCTCTGGTGCAGTGGAATTCCAAGGTCACAGCCCCCAAGCAATAGGTGAGGATGTGGCTGGGGGGGGCTGCAGACACCCTTCTATCTCAGCGATGCTTCCGGGAGCACAGCCTGAGCCTGCACACATACCCCTCCCCCTTTCCCCAGCCCTTTCCTCCCATGTCTGTAGTAGGAACGGGGAAGGCCGCATTCCTCAGCTTGCCCCTGTCTCCAAACTGCTACTGAGAGGAGTTCATTAATTTCTCTTTGGTATCTTTTCCTATAGCACCTATTTCTCAAATAAGGACTCTGCCATTGCCTTTGTTTGCCCTGTGCTCTGGTAAGAGAGGTGTTATAACAGTCTCTGTCTTAGTTTCAGCTGGGACAGAATTGTTTTCTTCAGAGTGCCTGGTATGCTGCCTGGTATGATTTTGGTTTTAGGAAAAAAAACAGTGTTGAGAACACTGGTGTCTGCAGTTACTGCTAAGCAGTGTCGCACAGAGCCAAGATCATTCCAGTTTCCCATCGCATGCTAACAAAGTGCTGGGAGGGGACAAATTAGGACAACTGACTTAAACTGGCCAGAGGGACATCCCGTGTCATACGACACACATGGAAGGAGAGTTTTGAGGGGGTTGGGAGTTCTTCTTGCTTTATTCCAGTGGCTGGGGGCTAGCTGGGCACTGGTTGGTGAGTGGTGAGCAATTGCTACTGCTTAGCTCCTTGTATACATTCACAACTATTATCCTTTTTCTTTTCTTACTTTTATCTCAATCCATGAGTTCTATTTTTGTTTTTCCCCGAGTTCTCTCCTCCATCCCTCTGGAAAGAGGAGGAGGGATGGAATGACTGTATGGTGTTCAGCAACCTCCAGGTCAAACCACAGCAGTCTGGTACGGAGATACCATCAGATTCGAATATCTGACTGCTACTCCATACACTGCATTCAAAAATTGGCAAGCAATGTTTTTATGCCAACTGAAAATGGACTCACAAATGTATAAAAAAATTGATGATTTTTTCAGCGCTCTTGAAATCTCAAATTCCTTTATCAAAACACAAAGCAAGGCTGCATATTTTTCACTGTTCACAGGACCATCTCTAGCTAGTGTATCAAAATGCATGAAATTGTTTGCCACAACTTGGGTCAGCACTCCACTCCACCCTCCCTGTGCCCTGGTTCCGGTTCAGACAGTGGAAACTGCAGACGATGAGCTGCTGCCATGATGTTGCACCTTGCATGGCAGCGGTGCCACCGTATGGGCGGGGCTAAACCGCATGCAGTTGAACGCCGGGACATGCCTGGCTTAACCCTGTGAGGCTCTGGTTAACTTGCATGTCAGAAGATCAGAAATGCAACAAGGAATGACAAATGGAAACACAAAACTTCTGTGCCACCCAAAATCTTGGTAACTCAGCAATTCCTCATTACATTGCTGTAGTAAGGAACAACAAGCAATTTAACAGCTTCTCTTCAGTCGTCAAGAATGTCTTGGGTTTCACATAAATTAATAATAATAACAAAACCAACAAATGACTAGTGCTAGTGTATTTTCAAATGGAATTTTCTCTCTGTTTTACTTCCAGAAGGAGATGGCATAAAGACTGAAAGTAAAGCTCTGAACGTAGAGACTTCCAATGAAAATAACTAAATATCTTAGCAGTCTCAGGGAAGAAAGAATTTACTATGTGTCAAGAAAAAGACATCTCAATTCCCTAAGAAATGCCAAGGAAACAGTTTCTCTGCATCTGCTGAACTGTTTTCAAATCAATAGGACTGTTTTTATGTTAGTTAACTGCAAAACATCCAACTCAAAGATAACATCGGATACGGTAACACTGCACTGCCTTTCTGAGAAGACCTCTAAAAAATTATACTGTAAAATTTAAAAAGTTTAGATGAGAAATTAATAAACCAGTGCTTTCCGAATTGTAAACATGTTATAAATTCCACTCTACTACAGAATTCAGGTTACTTCCTGCAGTAGGTAACAGATACCTGCATACCTTGCACTGCACTGGTACAAATGTCTGAGTTCTGTAGCTAACAGTACTTGCTATAAGCCATTTTTTGTGAGCAATTTTGAAGTTGATATGTGAACAAAGTATTTTTTTTTCTTAGTGTACAGCTTAAAAAAACACCAACCAACTAGAAAGAACTACATAGATTCACCGAAGACAAAACACACTTCTGATTTTGAAAAGGATTTCACATCTAAATGAACTTGGTCGGGAACCACAACACAGTAAGGTTCCATGTCAAACTCCCCAGTGGGGCATGCAGACCCTTGAATCAGAATTTACCCTCTGTCGAATGACACTTGGTTTACACAAACACTTTCAGACACACTTAAATGCTGCCAATAAAGCTTTCAAAAGGTTAAGAAAGCTGTCTGTTTCTAGCATTCCAATCACTATGTTAAAGCAAGACCAACAAGACATAAGAAGATATTTCAGAAGACTAGCCATAAAAGGCTACAAGCACTTCCAGTCCTCTACTGGTACACACCTCAACTTCAACAGGTGAAAAGTTAAACACATCCTCAATGCGTAGAGAGGAGGGAAGTCCAGTACGTACACCCCAGCAGCCATTTCTTGTGATGCATTCTGCATTTCTTCAAACAGAATTTCTGAAGAACTAATCATCTGTGATAAATAGTTAAACTTTTCTTCCCTCCAAATGTGAAAGGCCCAAATACTTTTCAGTGGGATCAGTGGAAGAACTTTTAAAGTGATGAAAAAATTGGCATAAACTTGGAAACCATGAGTTGCATAAATTCTTCTGTTGTTCAAAGAGCAACTTGAAAACCAAAAAATATTTCAAGGATCAGGACCCACAATGGGCCCTTTGTAAACTAGTTCAAAATAATGTCTAACACAACTAACAATACTCAATACAATACTAGCGTAAGCCATCGCTGAAAAGATGCAGAAATACTACTCAAGGCAATTAAAAACAATGTATATACTTCAGTTATATAAAACGACTTGCGGACCAATATCACTGCTTTGGAATAAAGCGAAGACTGCCAACAGATTTTTCTTCCTACTCTTCCCACCTTTGGCATTTTATAAATAAAGTAGTACACTTGCTTTAAAGCATCCAGAGAAGCACTCGGGTAATCTCCAAAACGCTGAGAGCAATGGATGAGGTCCTGAGTTTCGGTAATACTGCACACCTGAGAAACATTTCATGGCTTCACAAGTAGATGTACAAACTTTGGAGATTTAATCATCTTTCTCTGTTGTGAATCCATGTTATGCACACGAGCACGTACCATGCTCTTCTCTATGTAAAGGGGAAAGGAGCCATTTGTGCTCACTTCTTCATCAGTAAATTTCAAGAAGACAGTGATAGAACAGGAGCTCCCATGATCAGCCACATCTGAGACAACTATGAAGTAATGTTTTGTTTGCACGGAGCCCTGCTGCCAACAGGCAGCTTACATACAGATGCTAGCCGTACTAGTTATTGCCTTTACTGTAACACTGCCTAACATCTATGGCATGCAGCACATTGCCATGTCATTTCTGTTCTGCTATCAATGTCACTGTAGGAAGAAACAACGATAAAAGTCTGTACTGCATGACGGAAGTCTCAAGGGCAGGGTAAGATGCACAGAGCTGTTGGTGAGAATTCTCCCAAGAAGCAGCCTGTTTTTCATAATATCTGTATTTGTCACAAGCATGTTCAGGTCAAGAGGTCAGAACAGACACAGCAGTGTTGCAGAATCTGTTTGTTTATGAGGAAGTGCACAATCACACACTTATCTCAAGAAGAGCAACTGTGTTTTTCTAACTGTTTTTAACAACCACAAACTTCTAATGCAGCTGCACTTTCATCACAACTTATTTTTAAATATTCCAAACTTTCACAAGAGTTTTTTTCTTATTTGTTTTAGATAGCAAGGAACAGAAGCTACCATGATTTGTCACTAAACCTTTACTGTCTCCAAATTTTCAAGTTAAAACTTTTTCACTACTTTTTCTCCAGATGCTTCATTTTCTATAATCACACCAATTGCTGTAAGGTACTATTTAAAAACAAAACAAAACAAAAAAACAAATAAAAAAATAAAATATATACACATTAAATTCAGCCTCAGAAGCATTGAGACACTCCGGTAAAATGAGCCTCCTCACTCACAAACTTCAATTTTCTGTTTTGATATCCTGTTATAAATATATATCATGTATGTGTTCTGTATGTTACACATGTAACAGCGATGACCTAAAAGCACAGCTGCTGACTCCAGCTGGAAAACCTACTCAGAAGCCTCACACTAAGATGAAAACAGACACGTTTTACTGCTCCTGAATTTCCTGACCCACGACGCCCCCTACTGCAACTCCAGGGACAAATTCACAGCAAGCTTTTCAAATTGAAATATTCTAAGAAAACCACTTTTATTTACAGAACTAATAATAGTAGTATAGTAATAATACTGTAGTTTAGTAGTAGAAAAGAAAAATTTAAGAGTATTTCAGAATTATTTCATAAATGTTACTGAATTTCAGCATAATCACGTGAAACAGAAAATAGATTCCTCATTTCAACAAAGGACCTGAGTCCTGTTTGCCTCAAGCACTCTTCTAATCAAAAGGCACATTTTCTGAAAAACACATTTCTCTGATATAATGGCAGACCTTGTTATTTTAGAGTTCTTCCACAAGGAGAAATATAGAAGATAGGTTGCTTCCAGTAAGAGAAAAGAAAAAGTGTCAGAAACACCTCCGTTAAGGATGCTTACAGCAGTATCTGTAACTTCAATCACAATTGCAAAGCAGTTCCCATAAGTACCCTTTATGGGACATGAGCAGGAAATAGAGAGAGCTGCACAGTCAAGAGAACTTGAAGCATTCTTCTGTAGCTGTTCCTGCTGCTGGTTAAACTTCACTGCTACAAAACGAGGACCATGTAAAGACTGCACAAGAAATACCTTCATCTTTCTGCAGTCCATATTTATTGTTCAGCACACACACAAAATAAAAAAAAAGGAGGAAGAAGGAACAGAGGGAACATTATTCTGCCACAGTAGAGTTCAGCTTGTTACCACTGCAGCAGCACAGGTTTGACTCATAAAGAATACTCTATAATTAAGTAACAATGAAATCTCAAAATTCCATTTAAACATTAGAAATATACCCAACTCCAGCAGGCCTCACATTTGAAAAAATAAATGTTCTAAATGATTCTCAGCTCTTGCCACCAGAGCTAATGCAGCATTTAACCACATCACAGCTGCTGTAACACTACAAGCAGTGCCAGCGGCTTGTCATCACATCAAAACAAGTTCTAAGTCATAAAAGAAAATTCACTACAAGAAATCTGGTGGCCTACCAGTTAGCTAGTTATTTCTTATTGATTAATTATTCTTTCATTACCAAAATAAATCGTACTAGATATAATACTGAGATATTACTGAAAATTATGAAACTAAGCATGCACATGTAACCTCTAGTTTGGCACCAATAGTTAAGTGACTTTTAGGACTCCGTGACTGCTGTTCTTACAACTTACAACTAGTTGAAATGCTCACCTATGAATTCCTTCAAGGATATAATTCACAGCTGCTAACAGTTGCTGCAGTCCCGAAAAAGCTTCTTCGAATGAAGACTTCGCAACTACTGTGTTGGACTCTAACTTCTGGAAAATTTCAAGCCTAATATTACAAAAACAAATATGAAACAAAGAAAAGCAGTAAATAAAAATCCTTTAAATTCATTGTTGTTTGTATGCACTGCATTCTGACTATTAATAAGGCAAGGTCAAACATCAATCTATATTATAACCACATAGTCTAAAGAAGTCTAGGAAGCCTATGCCCTACAATTGTTATTCTCTGCTTAAAATTTTCCTTGTCAACTCTCTAACAGTATTTTACCTCTAACCATTACCTAAACAGATTTATCATTAAACTTTACTTGAAATGAAAACATCTCTTCACTCTATGTAACTCGAGCAAGCCTCTGCAAACCCCCCGAAGAGGGTGTTTAGGCTGAAGAAGCAAAGAAAATTGTTTTCTATGTACTTTTCCAAGCTTTTTCATTTTCCGTATTTAGTGGATCAGGGCTGACACCTTTCCTTCAGTAGTTGCAGCACTGGGACCAGAAGCTGCATTGCATTCACAAAGAATAAGCTCCACTGACGGGAGACAAGCAGGATTTTTTTGATGTAAGACAAGTGTGACATGACCAACAATTCTAGAATGTTTTATTTTCTTCACACCACAGTCTTTAACAGGCAGCGAGATCCAACAACTTGGCTCCATTTTTATTTCAAGAGGTATTTTTGAAATAGATTTTCCTCATGAAACAATGTGTATTTGCAACCACGAAATTGAGAAATATCCCAGCCAGAGAACCAACTATCCCCGCTCTGGAGGTGGAATTGTTTTACACTGCTTTCTTATGCAGATCCTCATTTGGCCAGAACAGCACATGAAGTCATCTTCCAGCCAGCTTCAATTCAGATTAATCTGCATTGGTGTAAGCCCAAAAGAATTACATTGGTGCAGCTCCACAGCATACTGAAAGGTTAGTTTAGAAGTGGCATGGGTAGAGTTATTATCACTGTTTGTTATATGAGTTCTTAACAGATAATTAAAAAAAAATGTTCTTTTATGCTTGACAGAACTCAGAGCCCACGTCTCAAAAAAGATTTTAGATTAAGACTACAGAAACCTCACAGTATTTATTCATGCTTTTTTTTAATAACATGCAAAAAAAAGCAGTGTTGAAATGATTTTCAAGCAGAGTCTTCAAAAATAAAAAAAAAAAAACAGATTTAAGACTTCTATATGGAGGGACTTTTTTTACATGCAATTTTGAGCTTATGTGAGAAATGAAATGAATGAGCAGACTCTGCATTTGGATACTTCACCTTTAAGGTGAAGAAATTTGCTTAAAAACTATTGGAAAACTATTTCCAATAAATTACGGTTTAAAAAATAATCTAAAAAGTGCTTTTGCATAGGGTAGTGCAGTTCCACAGCGTTTGAGAAGGAAGTCACCAAAGGAAAACACAGAGCTTGAATGCCTCTTTCTATGGAAAAAGATCAAATTTTCATTGAAGTCTCCCATTTGTGCACCTTATGAGCTCTTCAACACTGTAGTCTTAAGTAACTCATTCAATTAAGTTACTCATACGCTGCCAGGAAAAAGAACAGCAGGCTATACAGATCAGTGACTGCATCTATATAACAGTTCTTATGCTCCTCACTTCTTTGTGTGAAATGTTTGTTTGTTTTTTTTTTATGCTTTCATTAATTTCAATTAATTACTAATAGCTTCTTCTCTAAAATGAGCAAAAACAAGCAGTTCATATGGTATTTTTGAATGGAAATGACATAAAGTTATGTTTAACTTTGACATTTCTGTAGTACATCATACCTGTACAAATTCATTGTATTCCATACACCTTCAAGGACTGACCAGATCTCCTGGTGCCTGTCTTCTTGAGCAACGTGCATGCTTGCAGGCAGCCCTTTTTCTCCACAGTTTTGGAGATTTGGTATTGTTTCTTCCATTCTTTCGCACAGAGAACTTTTTGAAAGAATCGTGCTGTCTTCAGATGAATTCTGCTCACTGCCTGATCTCGCCTTAAAAAAGTTTAGAAGCAAATATTGAATGTATTTAATTTCCTATCTTAAGGAAATTTGAAAACTTTTAATTGCTTCAGGTTGCTTTTGCTGTTGTTAAGGTAGCGCTCAAAAAAGCAAGGCATATCTTTCCAACTTTAATCATCTTTATGACAGTCTCTGTATCTAATGCACCTCTCAGCCTTTTACCAAGATTTTCCTCTATAATTGTAGATCAGGAAACAGAAGCAAAGGTTAAAACCCTACATCAAAGCTTCACAGGTAAGTTTCATCAAAGCTTTCACAGGTAAAATCAACTACAACACTCTTACTTGCACATGGAAAGACAACACTGCTCTCTCTCTCTCATGAGTGATGGCAGACTCCTCTGCAATAGCAGAAGTATTCATACATCAGTGGCGAACCAACACAGGAGATGTATCCAGGTTAAACTGATGTGACACAAACAAGTCTGTTAAATGACATTTCCTTATGAGGTCAAAAGTCAGATAAGCACAGGAGGAAACAAGCTTTCAAAAAGCTTCCTTCTCAGTGCGGCACTGATCACAGAATAATGGCTGACTGCAATGCACGGAGAACTTAGGACTGCAGCAGAGAACCAAGACCCATGAACACATGATACTAGATCGTCCTTCCCTTCCTTGATCTTCCTCTTCTTCCTTTCCCTTTCAGCATTTTCCAACAGTTAAAATAACTTTTTACAGGTATTCTGACCCGCACTCTTTTTTTCCACATGAAGAAAGATTTCAAGTCACCCAGGCTCACTACTCCCTTCGTATGCCACTACACTCAGAACTAACAATCATTGCAAACCAAGACACTGACATTTCTTCCACGATAACTCATAGGTGAATTGCACGTAAGGCCATGCTTCTCAGAGCACAAAAGGTAACAGAACACTCTTTACTAACTACCACAAAGCATACGGTATAAAAGAAGTCCCTCCTGTGTATGTATTAATACAGAAATACAGCTACTGAGACAAAGAAAGATGAAATAACGTGGCCAGGAATAATAATACAGGATTGATATAAAAAAATAAATCCTTAATTTTAATCCCTAAGATCATCTTTAACAGTCACAAATACAATATAAAACCAAGATGTTTTTCCTGAAGGCAACTGAAGGTAAAGTTTTTCAGTCACATTCCAAATACTAATACATTTATATTAGAAAAAAGCCTACCGAGCTTACATGTAGAGATAGATGTTTGCTACAGGAAAATAGAAGTTAAATTTGGGGGTTTATTATAAAACAACCAATGTATTGCAATATTTTCTACCATAATTTTTTAAAATTCTGTGAATATTTTAAATATCGAAGCCTGGTTTACAATACAAACACAGAGCAATTTCAAGAACCAATTAGGTGAACGAATATTGAAACAACTCTCACCTCTGTACATGTTTGGTATAGCTTATTCACTTTCTCATAAGCCCGGGGCAGCACTCCATCATAATCAGACCTCAAACTGAAAGCATGCAGTAATTTCTTGGTTTCCTGGAGCAAGACAACAGCTGTTGAGGTGTCCAGTGTTATACCTGACATTTACATGTTAACATGGGAAATAAAAAAGTATAATAATTAGATGCTAAGCATTGTTAGCACTGCATTGTTAGGAGGCAATTTTAATACTCAAATATCTGAATTAACTAAGGTGGATATAAGGCCTTGAAAAATGTCTCAGAAACATCAGATAAAGAAACCTCAAGAGAAATATTAGCAACAGGGCGTAGAGCTAACATTTCTCCATCTTAACCAAGTCCTCCAAACTTATCTACAACCTGGCAAGAGGTTCTAGTGGCATATCTAACATAATAGATATGGAACAGCAACATCCCAGAGGAGCTGCATCTGTTAAAATCCAGTCCTTAAACAACACACTAAATGGAAGGGTTCTTTTATTTTTCACGTTTTTGGTTTGTTTTTTTGTTTTTTTTTTTGTTTTTTAGAACAAGCCACCCTGTCCTCATCCTCATTTACCACACTAAGTTCACTTTACTCCTCAACAAATTATTTATCAAATGCAGATCACTTGGCAATATAAAACACAGAAGGAAATGAAGGGAAGATTATTTCCTTCCTAAAAATAGTTGAGAGACTTCAGTGACCAACACTGTAAACATTCTTTAAAATGTTTTTACATTGATTTTGGTTCTACATTACTAGATGCTAGAGCTGGGTGATCTTGTGGGTCTTTTCCAATCTTGGGGATTCTGTAATTTAACCATATAGAGTACATGCTCAGCTAAGACTACTTCTGTAACTGAAAATCAACGTTCTTAGAGATTCTTACCTGTACAAAAGTGTTTATAGAGAAATTCAATAGTTGCAAGTAAGCTCCTTGGCACAACATAACCAAAAACAGCCACCCAGTGCTTTTTGTAGCACTGCAGTAAGTTTGCTAATGTCCATGGTGGCTTTAAATATAGTATCTGAAAGACAACACATTTCAAAAGTCAAACAGACATGTCCAGTTCTGTTCTTCAATAACATTACTCGCACTTGCTGAAGCAGAACTCCAATGATTCCTCAGAAATAAAGTTATATTTAGATTTAACAAACCAATTAAATTGTAATTTATTGCTATGAAGTAAAACCAGAATTTGGAAAGATGTTGACAGGAACCAGTTAAGCTAATTGTAAATGCCTAGTTAGTAACTAATCAAAACTCCATCCTGTGAAATAGTAAGCATCTCATGCAAACAACTCTTTTAAGATCACAGAGGCATATGCACAGTAAAAGCAGCGTATAATTTAAAAATGTATTGTAATTGCGTACTTATTTTATACGAACAGTACTTTTGAAAAAGCAAGTAAGTGCTTGGAGGTTAACATCCGTGCAATTCTGTATCTGCAATGTAGTGTGTGAATAATTATACTCGTGGTATATAAAAGCACTCTGATGGGAAACAAATGCTTTCAACAAGTGTAACGTTGTATAAAATATTATATATATTATATAAATCACATAAAATGTGATAGAATATTTTATTGAAGGATATATTTACAATTCAGTGATTTAAACACACAGAAAAGTCTAAGTGCAGTGAAATTAATACAAAAAGTTTGGAAAATTCATACTGCACAGCCACATAGCCAGAATTTCTATTACCATATTATTATTATTACTGCAGGAATTACTGGTCAGATAGAATCATCTTGTCATAAAATGAAATTGTAAAATTAAACACTCATGTTAAGCAGACTGTTACATTAATAAATTACAAGACTTAGCCGCCAGTTTAACATAGGTAAAGAAATCACTGAAATATTAAAACTCTTAATATTTGAAATACCAAGAAAGATGACATATGAAACTACCTCCATCCATAGGTTTCCAAATACAATTTTCATTTCAGTCTCCAAAATACAAGATAAAGCTTCTCCTAAGTTCTTTTCAAGATCTGGAATTATATTCGGAAATTGAGAAGTAAGATGAGTATCACTTCTTTCTGTTTTCTGGAAAGTAAGATGAGCATCACTTTCTTTTGTTTTCTGGAATTCTCTATCTGTAAAGCCAACAGCAATACAAGATACTAATTGCAACAGCTTCTATAGCTGATATAGGCTGATACAAAGTGATACAAATCACTTGTTCCCGTAAATAAAAGACAGACTGTACTTTACACTGTGGTACAAAGCAGATAAGGTACACCTAATCAGATTTCAAGCATTTCCAGTTATACACATTTGTACTGTGGATCTTTTTATTTATGAGCAACTAAACAAGACAATCTAATTTCCCCAAGGTATTATTCATTTGTGCTATCACTTATTTGTTCTTAAATACCTCAGATTATATACAGGCAGTGGAGCTATCAGCAAGCATGAGAAGATCACTGCTTACCACTGCAAGCTGTATTTGCATCTTTTGAAACATTAGCAAGTAATACAAGAATCTAGCTCTACTGATTGGGATGCTAGAAAAAGTAAAGGATGAGCTCAGTATAAAGGCTTTACAACTAAGCAAGAATAGAACCCAAACTCTTCAACTGGAAACATCAGTTTTAAGTCCTGTAATATAGGACACAGTTTAAAGGACTGTAAACAAAGGTAATTCATGCTGTATTTCGTTTTTGTTATTCTGTAAAACGAAAAGATGCCATATGAATTTCCTCACATCGTAAGAGACAAATTTTTTAATAACGGTCTCAAACTTTCAGGAAACTGCTTACCTTTGAAAACAGAAAACCTATCCAAAACAAACACTGAGGATTCAAACTGTATAAAAATTGAGTCTATATAACTATTTTCCCTCTCCTACGCTGATCAGTAGGTCTCAAAAGCCAGTGTATGTTTATGCACACATTAAGCAAACTTACCACATTTCGACTGCTGCAGTTCCAGGCAGTTCAGATGCTTGTTAACATTCAGGTTCAGCAGAGCAGTAACCAAATCCACTTTACAGAGTGCCTTGACCTCACATACAATGGCTTTATTGCATAAATTTTTGTCATCTCTAGGAAAAGATAATTAATTTTTGACATAAAACTGACAGTACTTAACATTACGTAATAAGTTATGAATAAAGCACTGAAAGATTTGAATCCTGTAAGCTTATTTTGTGATCTTCTGTATATAAGAAAGTATACCTTCTTACGAGATTAGAATCAGTTCAGAAAAAAAAAAAACAACAAAAAAAACAGAAAATGAACTGAACTAGCTACTCTGAAAGAGTATTTGTCATGCTCTGAGCTTGCTTTAAGAAAAACAAAACCACAAGTACTGCAGTAGTGATGCTTAGCTGCTATGATCTTAGAATGCAGACAAGGCTATGATTTGAAGACACTCATACCTTATTACACTGATATAATACAGCCCCATTTTCCATAATGTGCTGGCTGAGTTATATTCACAGATACCACCCTGAGGCACATATACTGTAGCACAATTGCTACAAACTTGTGCTCTTGTACTCTCTCACAAATTCCCATTGCTTACACTGATAAAGGCATTTTCAGATGAAAAGCACTTTAAAGGTCACCAGCAACACATTCTGTTCTTTACTCAGAAAAATCTAAAGGGTGAGAGAGCCGGGGATCTTCAGCCTAGAGAAGGCTCTGAGGCGACATTATAGTGGCCTTCCAGTACTTGAAGGGGCCTGCAGGAAAGCTGGGAAGGAACTTTTTGCAACAGACTTTTGTAGCAACAGAATGAGGGGAAATAGCTTTAAACTGGAAGAGAGTAGATTTAGACTAGATACTAGGAATAAAGTCTTTACTGTGAGGGTGGTGAGACACTGGAACAGGTTGCTCAGAGAGCTTGTGGATGCCCTCTCCCTGGAGGCATTCAAGGCCAGGCTGGATGGGGCTGTGAGCAACCCGGGCTATGGGAGGCATCCCTGTTTATAGCAGGAGGTTGGAACAAGATGGTCTTAAAGGTCCCTTCCAACACAAACCATTCTAACACTCTATGAAATAGTGTTTTCAGCAACAACCCAGTCTCACACATCAACTTACACAAACCAACTGATACGTAGATAATCAACTTTATTTCCTGAAACATACCAACCTGTTTATGGTCTAGGAATACTAGTCTTTTAAAAAATTAGCTTCACATCACTTGTATCCAAGTGTATCCAAACCAAGAATCAATTCCAAAAACTCAGCAGTTATCATGCTATTTATCACCCTCCCTCAACCCAGAGGCAATCCCACCTGGGCAGCTAACTGGATCTCAGCCATTAATAAAAATACATTTTTTTAATGTCATAATTCCATAATTTGTTACAAATTTGAGTAAGATTTTGAAAATTTGAGTTATTCTTTCAAAAATTTTCAAATTGAATAAACTTTACTTCAGGCTTTGGTGCACTTGAAGGCAACTACACCTACAATCTTCACGTTTTACTGTACCCTTCTACAGCAGCTTCTAAGAGAGCAACTGCTCCTCAGAAGCTTATTCCAGAAGCAGCTCTTCGTTTTAAGATACAATTTGAAAACGCTGTATCTGGCATAAGACTACCTTAAATTTTGTAACAGCTCAAGAAACACCCAGGAACTCACGTGCACAGTATAACAACAGCTTGAGGAAAGAGGCTCTGGTACTGCAGACAACACTGTAACACACGATCATCGTTGTTCTCATCACACAGGCCATCTGCAAATTTAGTTAAAGCAGTGCTGACTCGTATAGAAACAACTAAGCAGAAGAAACACTTCATTGCAGTCATGGTACTATTTTTAAATGCAGCACTCCCTAGACAAGGACAGAGTAGTGTATTCAAAGCACAGATCTGAGCTTTGAATTCCAAGGTTCTGCTCCTCTCAAAGAACACTACCGGTGGGGCAGAAAACTTCCAGTGAGCCCTGCACAAACTTCTCAGCATGTTAGATTCTATGACAATGAATGAAAAGCGTAAAACAGACCCTTAGCTTGTAGATTAAAAAAAAAAAGAAAAAAAATGAATTTTCATTAAGTAATTACCCACATAGCAACTTAATAGATGCAATTTAAAGTGAGAAATAATCAATGAAATGACAGTGAACGTCTGCATACTATAGCCATAGGATATGCTCTGAAAACTCCTGTAAGCAATTAGGAAGTTTTAATTAGCAAACTGCAAAGTCAGAGCAAAGACCATATTAAATTACAAATTTAGAGCAGAAGTTCACATGAGATTAAGTACTCCAAGCCAAACTGACTGCATGTCTTACATATTTTTTGTGAAGCAAGTTGCATGGATTGCCCCCACAGTTTTGGATCCTGATTTTTGAGACACGCATAGATGAACTGGACTGCAGGAACAGCCTTTTGTCGAACATGCACTAACATCTTCCCCTTCTTCAAGTTGTCCAACTCTTGTAAAACAACCCAGGGAATTATCAAGGCAAGTTTGCCAATCCCTACAATGAAAAAAAGGCCAAAAAACAGACATTTTGTAAGGCCAACTGAAGTCCCACAGTTAAATTTTATTTCTAACACTTTATCTATATAAGCTCATGCTTTTTTTTTGTTTTTGTTTTTAACTAATAGTTTTCATATTTAGAGCTCAAGAAATACCTAGCATTAAAAACGAACCAGTGAAATCAACCAAGCTCCCTCTTTCATTAAACCTCAAACTAAAAGTTGGTTACAGGTTAAAAAACAAACAAAAAAAAAAAACAACTACCAAATGAACAAGAGGAATAAAAAATTTTAATCAAGGAAGTATACTGACAGCAGTGGGTGGCAGTATTATAAAAGACAGTGATCAACGTCCTGTTACATACTCACTGTAATACTTAAGAGCAAGGTAACAGCAGCTGAAAAGAACAGGCTAAAAACACTGGAGGAACCACAGCAGTCACTGTGCAAAACCAATCAGTAAATAAAAGAGCACTGGGTTGTGCTAATTCTCAACCAGCATTCTTCAGCAAACAACAGGAAGAATGGCTACTGGACCATACTTTTACTTGCATCTAAGTACTTTTTTCAGCTTCAAAACTATTACAAATGCATTATAAATGGATGTCACGGAGTTGACCAGATCAATCTATGTCCGTGACAGGGGCGACAGGGCCTCTGTCCTCCCCCCCCACCCCAGTCCCACAAAAAATGGGAAGGGAGAAAGGGAGGAAAAGAGCAGCGGCAACAATCTATGGAGGAAAACTTATTTTACTATAATATCGGAATACAAAATAACACAATATATACAATTTAATTGAAATTGAGATTAATAAATCAGACAAGATAAGAGAGAGAGAGTTCCCGGGACCGATTCAAACCTGAAAAAGCTTGGAACGGCTAGGAAAGCACCCTCCAGCACCCACTGCCAAGCAGCAAGAGAGCGCCCCCCCCACCCGGAAGGGCCAGATCCCGTGACTGCTGTAATGTACAGGGATAGGTAGCTGGGATTGGGGCAGTGACACTTTAATGCCCCGTACACTACATGATGTTTTGATGTGGAATACTGAAATCCAAAAACAAAAAAAACAAAAACAAAAACATAGAACCATGACAATGGAATACATTATAAATATTATAAATGGAATAATGGTAATTCAGAGATTTCATAACTGCTTTCTTGGTCCACCCAGGACAAATACTTAATTATATGCCTTCTCATTCACGTGGTAAGAATGCAATTTTTAAGATATCCACTAGCATCCACCTGCTTTGTAGTAAATAGGTAGTAGTCTGCAATCTTCTAAACATTTTCATAATTGGTCTGGTGTTTAATTGCAAAATTAAAAAACAATACATTTAAGGTAGCAGTTCCCAGTTTACACAACACAATTCCTATCTTGACAAATAGACAATCTGACACACTCTTGGAAATTACTTGGAATCTTACTAACATTATTTTCCACACCTGCATTCGTTATCTAAATAAACCACCACAATTATTCTTACAGTTTCCAAATATGTCTAACAAGAACTAATAAGCACAATCCTAATTCTGCTAACAGTAAATCATTGTTACCACTAGTAATGGACTAGATGTTCCAATGTTTCTCTCAAATATTTTTATCAATGACCTTGAGCTGCAGCTCACATGGTGAATTACATTATCATTACATCATTATTACATCATACAACCATTTCCTGGGCTGTATCAAAAGAGGGGTGGCCAGGAGGGCAACAGAAAGTGATTGAAACCCCCTACCCTACTCTTCAGAGGCCCGACTGGAGTACTGCATACAGGCCCATGATCCCTGGCTCAGGAAAGACACAGAGCTGTTGGTGTGATGTGGAGGAATGGCTACGTGACAAAGGGCACGTAAACATGGTACAGCTCGCTGATCATGAGTTTGAGAATTACAGAACCCAGCTTGTCTGAATTGTTAAGTGGCAAGGACACAGGACGTGGATACAAAGAAACAGAAGCAGTAACCAAAGGAATGAAGATGGGAGGGATTGGCATTCAGCTTTAAGCACCAATGATGAGCTTGCTTTTGCACTACATATGAGTATTATTAAGACATGTGTAAAAGAGAATCTTTGGTAATCAATAAACAAGACTCGTTGATCACTCATATTGAGTGCCAGGTGCCTTGTTACCACAGTGTGAGACCAAAAGAAGAGCACAGAGATGTTTAGGGGGATGGAATACCCCTCCTGTGACAGGATAACGGAGTCGCTGGGCTTGTTCAGCCTGGAGAAGAGAGACTTCAGGGACCAAGTGGGAAGGGGCAACCTCAAAGACAGCAAGGGATGCAAACATACCCCTATTGGGGGCAACAAGTCCCACCTTTCCCAGGTGCCTTTACAGAACAGCTATGGGGCTCTGTGTGCAGCATGGGAAATAAACAGGAGGAGCTAGAAACCGTGGCACAGTTGGGAAAGTATGACCTAACTGCTATCACAGAAACATGATGGGATGAATCTCACAATTGCAATACCAACTGAGGACCACAGGCTTTTCAGAAGGGACAGACAGGATAGGAGGGGTGGCAGAACTGCCCTCTCTGTTAGGAAGTGGATCCATTGCCAAGAGCTGTGTCTGAGGAACAGCCAGATCAGGTTGAGAGCTTGTGAGTAAAAATCAAGGATTGTTCCAGTAAGGGGCATTTAGTAGTTGGGGTCTGCTACAGCCCACCTGATCAGGAGGAGCCTGTTGACGAGGCCTTCTTGCTTCAGCTGCAGAACATACCACACTCATGGACTCTTGTCCTGATGGGGGATTTGAACCACCCGGATACCTGCTGGGATAGCAGCACAGCGGGGGGCAGACAATTCCTGCAGTGTCAAGAACAATTTCCTTGTCCAGGTAATAGACAAGACTAGACCAACCCAAGGTGAAGCCTTACTGGACCTGGTGCTCCAATGCAGAGAAGAGCATTAGAGAGGTTAACTGGAGGCAGCCTGGGCTACAGTGACCATGCCTCAGTGGAGTTTGTGATCTTGAAGAATACAGCCCTGGCAAAAAGCAGAGGTGATGTGCTTCAGGAGAGCAAACTTCCAGCTGCTCAAGGAACTGCTGAGTGGAATCCCCTGGGAAACTGTCCTTAAGGTATGGGCACAGAGCAAAGCTGGCAGCTCTTTAAGGATACTCTTCTGAGAGCACAATGGCTCTCCATCCTCAACAGAAGAAGTAGAGCAGGGGAGGCAAGCAACACTGTGGCTGTGCGAAGACCTGCAGCTTAAACTCAGAGAAAAGAGGGAAATGTACAGAAAGTGGAAGCAGGGTTGTGTAGTCTGGGAGAAATACAGGGCTGTTGTCCATGTGTGTAGAGATAGGATCAGGAAAGATAAGGCACAGATGGAGCTGAACTTGGCAAGGGATGTGAAAGATAACAAGAAGGGGTTCTACAGGTACACGGACAGGAGGAAATAGGCCAAGGAGAGAGAGCGCCTTCTGACAAAAGGTAATGGGGAGCTGCCTTCCTCAGACATAGAAAAAGCTGAGGTACTCAATAAGTGCTTTGCCTCAGCCTTCACAGGTGATCAGGCTTCCCACTGCTAGGACCCAGAGCCTCTAGGGGAAGGTGTGGGGAGTAGGATCTGTCCCACTGTCACAGTGGAAAAGTCCAAGTCCTCCTTACGAAACTGAACATGTATAAGTCCATGGGGCTGGATGATATCCAGCCTAGGGTTCTGAGAGATGGCTGATGTGGTTGCCGAGCCGCTCTCCATATTTAAAAATCATGGCTGTCTGGTCAAGTCCCCAGTGACTGGAAAAAGGGAAATGTTACTCCCATCTTTAAGAAAAGGAGAAAGGAAGACCTGGGGAACTACAGGTCAGTAAGCCTCACCTCTCTGCCTGGGAACATCATGGAGCAGATCCTCCTAGAAGCTATGTTAAGGTACACACGAGGCAAAGAGGTGTTTGGAGATAGCCAGCATGGCTGCACCAAGTGCAGATCGTGCTTGACCAAACTGGTGGTCTTCTATGATGGAGTGACAGCATTGGTGGATGGGGGAATGGCAGTGGATGTCATCTACCTGGACTTCTTCAAGGCCTTTGACATGGTCCCTCACCACATCCTTCTCTCTAAATTGAAGAGGTGTGGATTTAAAAGATGGATTGCTCAATGGATTAGGAATTGGCTGATCACAGCTAAAGGGCTGTGATCAGTGGTTCTGTATCAGGGTGCAGGCCGGTCACAAGCGGTGTCCCTCAGGGGTCAGTCTTGTGACCGGTGTTCTTCAACATCTTCATCAATGACAGATGATGGCACTGAATGCACCCTCAGCAAGTTTGCAGATGACACCAATCTGAGAGGTGCAGTCAATACACTGGAGGGAAGGGAAGCCATCCAGAGAGACCTGGACAGGCTGGAGAAGTGAAAACCTAATGAGGTTTGATAGGCCAAATGCAGGGTGCTGCATTGGGTCAGGGCAATCAGGTATTTATACAGACTGAGGGAAGATCTTGAGAGCAGCCCTGCAGAGAAGGACTTGGGGGTCCTGGACAAGAAGCTGGACATGAGCCAGCAGTGTGCGCTTGCAGCCCAGAAGGCCAACTGTGTTCTGGGCTGCAGAACAGAAAAGGGGTGACCAGCAGGGTGAGGGAGGCGATTGTCTCCCTCTACTCGGCTCTTGTGAGGCCCCATCTGCAGTACTGTGTCCAGGCCGACAGTACAGGAAGGACGTGGAGCTCTTGGAGCGGCTCCAGAGGAGGGCACTAAGATGATCAGAGGGCTGGAGCAGCTCTCCTATGAGGAAAGGTTGAGGGAACTGGGCTTGTTTAGTTTGGAGAAGAGAAGGCTCCAGGGAGACCTCATTGTGGCCTTCCAGTACTTGAAGGGAGCGTATAAACAAGAGGAGAACGGCTGTTTACAAGGGTGGATGGTGATAGGATAAAGGGGAATGGCTTTAAACTGAGACAAACTAGGAGAGGTTTAGGTTAGATACTGGGAGGAAGTAGATAGGAGGAAGTTTTTCATAGAGACACTCTGGAGCAGGTTGCCCAAGGAGGTTGTGGATGCCCCATCCCTGGAGGCATTCAAGGGCAGGCTGGATGTGGCTCTGGGCAGCCTGGTCTGCTAGTTGGTGACCCTGCACATAGCAGGGGGTTGGAACTGGATGATCATTGAGGTCCTTTTCAACCCAGGCCATTCTGTGACTCTATAACCCCTCACTGTGACCATCCAGTACTTGAGGGGAGCTACGGGAGGGAGATCAACTTTTTATGTGGGCAGACAGTGTCAGGACACGGGGGAATTGGTTTTAAACTAAGTGAGAGGAGATTTTGGTTAGATGTTAAGGCGAAATTCTTTACTCAGAGGGCAGTGAGGCCCGTCACAGGCTGCCCAGAGAAGCTGTGGTTGCCCCCTTCCTGGAGGCATTCAAGACCAAGTTGGAAGGGTCCCTCAGCAGCCTGATCTGGTAGATGGCAACAAGCCCACAGCAGGGGGAGTGGAACTGGATGGGCTTTACTGTTTTTTCCAAGTCACTCTGTGATTCTTTGAAGACATATTTACTGAGAATTTAAGTGCATAGGTATAAGCATAGTAGGCTTTACTTAATATCTGAACTTTTCTTAAGAAGCCTATCTGGGTTCAGAGAACCAGCACTGTAAGTGAGAGCCTCCTGGCTCATATGAAACCTACTGTCTTTTTAAGCTCAGATGTTTTTTGTTGTTGCTGTTTGTTTGTTTCATGCAGCCTGAAATTCTTATATCTGTTTCCCCCAAAAATTCTGGTTGATCACCATGTATTCACATACCTGGTATATCCTCAGATTTCAGGGACTTGACAAACTCAAGGTGACTAATCATTATATTTGTGTCAATCACCACTAGTATGTTCAGACCGGAAGAAGTCTCTGGCAAAAAGAATAATAGCACAGTTATTCTTAGAAAATCAGTTGTCTGCTCACTACACAGGGCACTAACTGATTTTAATAACCAAATGCTTGTACCACCAAGAAACACAAGATTATGACATACCAGCATAAATATTTAAATCCTGTTCTGGAAGATCTATTTCCATACTTGTCAGTTCTCCACAGGTCTGTACTACAGACTGGGCCATCCTCTTTTCAATACGAGCAACATGCAAATCCTCAACTATCTGCATCTACAATAAAAAATATGTGCACTTCTGAAATCAATTATGGGTAAGAAATCACTTTTGAATTGTTTTTAAAAAATTTACTTTTGCGTTAATTACTTTGTTCAGCTGACTAAAACTGAAAGACAAAAAAAATTGAGTTGATACAGAAAGTGTAAAGCTGTGAGTATCTTTTGCCTAATCTCCAGTATAAGAAGTCCACAAAAAGACATCCAAAATGCAGCCAAGAAATCTTTGTTCTGAGAAATCTTTTGGCCTAGTATCCAAAACTTTTCTTCCATTTTTTGTTAAATAACCTGCAAGTAACCTGTCAGATGTTTCTCAAAAAAAAAAAAAAAAAAGTCTCTCCCCCTACTGGAACGCAAGAGGTTGGAAAATGAGACAGCTGAGTATGCAAGCAAGTATGAAGGTCCCTGGTGTTACAAAGAGTAAGAAGAAGGCAATCTTCCTATCTCAAAGAGTTCCTGATTACTATTTGAGCAAGTTTGTTTAGTATTTGAAAAAAAGGTTCCAAGTATTTAGATCATATAGATATTAGACCAGCAATGCAAAATATTAGGAAAGGCCATGGAACTTCTAACTGCACAACATCAATGCCATGAATTGTAAATTCCAACTAACAAGTGTTAAATGAAAGCATTACTAACCTCTTGGTCGCCTTCCGGGTATTCACAGCCTTGAGGCAATGGAAAGCTTGCACTGCTTTGAGGGGATGGAAAGCCCTGCAGGAAGAATTAAAAACAACATACCAACATCACAGAGTATCAATTAAGACTGAGGAAAAAGCATCAAGTTTTTTACTCCTGTCAAGAGTCAGAATATAGCGCTTTAATATTATACAAGTACACTTACTTAACTTTTGGGTAGATTTTATATTATCTCTTACTTGGTAGGAGTCAGATGCGATTGAAAACTCAAAAGAAACAAATAATAATAGAAACAGAACTAGTTTGACTAAGCATTTAGTAGAGCAGATAAGCATTTTAACATGATTTATAGTGTGACCAGAAAAATCCATCTAGCAGGCTATGGGATCCTGAACCTTGCAAGAAGGCAAGTCTACTTACATACAAACTGCCTGCCATTCAGAAACCAGCCTAGAACAGACATTTGCATAATACAGAAATAACTGAGTTCTCATTACCTGCTTAAAACAAAACGCGGTGGCTTCAAAGTCCCCTTTTTCAGTCCCTGAATTACAACTAACTCGATCAGCATCCTGTTTTTTCCATTTACAACAGTCCCATTGCTGCAGTGTTTCAGTTGAGCAGTGTGATATATGCTTGTCAGCATGTTGATTTTTCTTAGAAAACTCCTTATATTCTTCTTTATACTTTTCTTCACAAGTCCTAGATAACATATTTGACTTCTTACTGACAGGTCTATCACGACACACAGTCTCTGTACAGACTGTGCTAGGTGGCTTTTTTTGAATTTTTTGAATTCTGACATCTTCACTCGTTTTTCTAGATCTGTCTGCCTTTTTATGAGGTACATATAAATTATACACAGATGACTTCAGTTGTCCCAACACAGTTTGTTCAACTTTTACCTCTGGCTTACAGAGTTCAACTTTGTTTTTCTTCACCACCTTGTCTCTCTGAACCACAAAGCTATGACAGTGTCTTTTTCTTTCTTTACCATCAAAAGGACCTTTGTTATGATCTTTCCTGCTAGTTGTCACTACATCAGCAGTGCCTGTACTTTTTCCATGTTTAACTTCTTTGGATTTAAATTGTATAACTATTCTCTTTCGCTTTTCAGATTTGATTAAAGAATTAGCTGTGGTTTTGCTTCCATTTGGAGATTCTCCTTGGGATTGTCCATCAGCACAAGTATTAGATCTTCGGTATTGTTTCTTCTCTTGTCTGCCTTTCTCTGTTTTGAATCTATAGAAATTTTACCAAAAAAAAAAAAAAAAAAAAAAGTCATGTAATCTAGCTCAGTTAACATAATACAAGAAAAAAACAGCAAGAAACACTGCCTTCGATTTAGGCAGTAATAACTGCATATTTATGGGTACCACTTTGATGTATATTTAAACAAGAACTTGCAACATCTGTCCTCTATGAAGCTTGCTGTAGGGCTTTCATTATTTACATCTTTGGCTGTAGAGCCATTTCAAAGTACCAAAATAAGAAAAAGCTTTTTTTGTATTTTACTACCTGGAGAGATGTCCTTTTACAGTTTATTCTCATCTTAACACACAGATGAATTTTAACAGCATTTTAATTATATGTAGGGTGTGTCACCCTAAAGATCAAGCATGCAGCAGTTAGGCTTGGTCACACACTGCCAAGCACTTAATGGCCCTTAAATAGGGCAGAATAAACAGACTGAGTAACTTGGAAAAGGAACAACTGAGAGAAATACATAAACTTTCTACAGGAATCATGATATGAAAACTGAATAAGAAATTACTTCTTATAAAACCAGAGAAAATATTCATTAAATTTATCAGACACTAGGTGTAAAATACCCCTGACACTTACTCTCGTGCCCTGTAACAGTACTATGGAAGTGCTGAAGAGGAAAAGGCCATTTAAGAAATGCCTGTAGAACAGATAACTTGAATGTCCTGACAAATATGCAACAAGATTTTGCCATGATTAAGAAACAGACCAAAGCTTTACCATCTCAGGATTCATAAGAACATTCATACTCTATATTACTTTTCAAATACTTTTTACACTTGCTATGCTTAAGGTGAAAGGTTGCTTTATTTGCCTCAAGTAGCCTACATTTTGCTAACAGAACATGAAATGTGTGGTACAGACCAACAAGGTACTGCTCAAGGCAGGAAAAAAAAAAGGCTTTTTATAACAGTAATGTTGGAAGGATACTATTCCTACTTTATTTGAAGTGTAATGGTATACTTTATAGTTTAAAATTGTTTGAATCCTGTTTTCTCAACAACCTCAAACTGACAAGTTCAGGCAGAATCCACCCATAAATCTACTCATTAGTGCAATGCCAACACTTCAGTTAAATTGCCATATTTTATTTACTGAAAACAAAAGTAGAAAACAATAAATTAATACTTAAATTCAGTATTCAAAACAATCCAATGGTAGTTATATTTAATGCCACAGAATTTACCTTTGAAATTCTGTCTGTCTGTCCACAGTTTGACTATATGACTTTGTGACTTCGGAGTTCTGAAAGAAAGAAAAAAAGCCCAAGAGAAAATTGCTGTAACAAACTCTTCACAAGACAGAACAAGCTATTATTTCACATTAGAATCACAGTGATTTTGAATAAGCTGACCTTGAAAAAGACAGCTACATGCCTCAAGGACCAAAGGGGAGAAGTGTTACTAAATGTAGTTTTTCCCATAATCCTTTTTCCCAAACTCCTGTTTTTAATTTTCCACCCTTCAGCCTGCCCAGTATGGGAACCACTGAACAGTCCTTAGGAATCAGCCCTGGAACATACTGTACATGAATAGTCTCCACATATGGTGGCAGCACCTATCAGAGACAAGTGGTACGCTGGCACAGGCTGCCTAGAGAGGCCTGTGGATACTCCATCCCTGCAGACATTCAGGGCCAGCTTGGATGAGATTCTGGGCAGTCTTATCTAGCAGCTGGCAGCTCTGCCCATGGCAGAAGGGTTGGAACTAGATGATTTTTAAGACTCTCTCCAACCTAAGCCATTCTATCATTCTATGCCCTTCACTCATACGAAGGAAGTAGTAATGCGCTTTATTGACACGAGACAGTGACTTAATGGAGCTCAATGGTAAAAATGGCAGTGCTTTATCAAGGTTCAATTGCATGGCATGCTTGATTATGTACTGCACAGAGGATTGAAACAGATGAAAATCATCAGGTAGACCTTGCTATGAGTCACAAGACTCAGAGTCAAACACCTTGCCTTCCTGACGCCTTCCCAGAGGAGTATGGGAGCAGCTCACTCCAAGACTTGGTCAACAGTTATATATTATTGTATGCACCATCAATCTTTTTTATTACTTAGCTAAGACTACGCAGTAAGCCAGCCATTAGTCACTCACCAAGTATTTGTTGTGGGTAAGAATTTTTTTTTTTAATCTCTAGGATTAAATAATCACTACTTTGACAAGTGTCCCTGCTCAAGGGGAAATCCTGGTGTGGGGCCCTCTGCTATGTGGGAGAGCTGAAGGGGCTCTGGGCTGTCCCCTTTTTATGGGGTGAGACCTGGTGGATGAAAAGCTTAACATGACCCAGCAGTGTGCTCTTGCAGCTCGGAAAGCAAATGGAATCCTGGGCTCCTTCAGCAGAGGGGTGGCCAGCAGGGACAGGGAGGTGGTTGTCCCTCTCTGCTCTGCTCTTGTAAGGCCCAACCTGCAATACTGTGTCCAGGTCTGGAGCCCCCAGTACAAGAAAGATAGGGAGCTGTTGGAGAGGGTTCAGAGGAGTGCCACAAAGATGATCAGCAGCACCTCCCCTACAAAGAGAGGCTGAGGGAGCTGGGCTTGTTCAGCCTGGAGAAAAGAAGGCTGTGGGGTGACCTCATTGCAGCCTTCAGTACCTCAAGGGAGCCTACAAACAGAAGGGGAGTCAACTCTTTGACAGGGTAGATAACTGCAGGACTAGGGGAAATGGTTTTAAGTTGAGGGAGGGAAGATTTAGGTTGGATGTCAGGGGGAAGTTCTTTACAGAGAGAGTGGTAAGGTGCTGGAACAGCTGCCCAGAAAGGCTGTGGATGCCCCATCCATCCCTGGGGATGTTCAAGGCCAGGTTGGATGGGGCCATGGGCAGCCTGGGCTGGTATTAAATGGAAAGGTGGTGGCCCTGCATGAGGCAGGGGGATGGGGATTCATTATTCTTGAGGCCCCTTCCAAGCCCGGCCGAATTCTGTGATTCTGTAAATAATAATGAGGAATTCAGGAAGAAAAGGAGGTACGAACATTTGGCTGTATTTTCTACATGAGCAAAAAGCTTTTAATGTGTGTAACTCAGGTTATTAAATCTACCATATCACATTCATCTATAAATGCCTGCAAACGTTTTTTAGAAACATTCATATTAAGATAATTAAAAGCTCTCTCATTTCATATATGCTTTGCAAAATTAGACAGAAAGAGTTAGCAAACTGGACTTATTAAACTACTGATTTACTGGTTATATATTATTTGCAGAAAACAACTTTCTAGAAGCGTATACAAGCAATAAAAAAAAAAAAAGAAGCAAAGCCATAGGAAAGCATCAGACTGGTAGTGGATGTGTTTTATACAGATATATATCAAGTACTAATAATCTAGATCTAATATTAATAATTGATTTGTATCTCAGTTGTTAAGAAGAAGTATCTGAAAGTTGCTTTTTAAGATGCTAAAAAGTGCAATTTGTAAATAATCAGAAAATCAACATATATCGATACAAGATAAAGAATAACCAAAGAGGAGAATAATTTTGGTAAGTTTCATGCTCAACAGCCCTCACCAGACAGATATAGTATAATTTAAAACAAAATCCCTTAATTTCTGATACCTATCCTACCTGTGGGCTCTGGAGGAAAAGAGATCAGTTACCCAGCTGGAACTTGCAGCTATCTGAACATTCAACCCTCCTGCAGCTCTTGGTGAAGAGCATTTCATTTTAACACTGATTCATTCTTCCATCACAAAACTGCTAAATAATTCACTCCTCTCTTTCATGTGGGGATCCAATTAAAAATACAATGATGAAGATAATCCTACTTTGTCATCCTGGCCATTCAAACTGTCCTCCTTTATTTTCTTCAGTTTCTGTTTGGACATCTTTCAAACCTATGAAGAAAAGAAACAGCATTCCTGTTATGACTTCACATTTTTATTTCCTGCTGATAATAAAAAAAATAATGCAACTGCACTGAGAAAAAAATTCTCTTTAGTTTCCTCTTCACATTACACAGCCACAGCCAGTCCGAGCAGGGCACCAGGGATCCACATCTCACTCGGGGAACTTCCCAGAAGAAAGACTGGCAGCTCCCTGCTCTGCCACCTGCTCGAGCCTTGCCACCACAGCAGACACAACAAGCTAACAGAGGCAAACACCGTGCGTGACTTCAACAAGGCCCCAGACTTCTACAGCAGTTCCAACTATTTTTAGTTAACATCTCCACGCGTCATTCCACTGCTGTACGACAGAACGTTTCTCAGATACGAAGCACTGAAGCGATAACCGAAGCACTTCCAGGCTAACTAAAGAACGGTTTTTTTACTAGCGATAAGCAAAGAGCAGAACGAGACAGAAGAGAAGAGCTAAGGCAGTCAGCTATCAGGCTCGGCCCACTGCGATGCGCGGCGCCCAGGCGGACCGCCCCACCCCGCCCAGCTCCTTCCCGCCACGACGCTGGGCACCCCTCGGACCGACCGCCGGGGATGGCGATCAGCGCCAGCTCAAACCGCGCGGACGGCATGCGAGGTCGGAAAGCCTTTCCCGTTCGCTGCGATTTTCGTCACCCGGTTACTTCAGGCCCTGAGAACTCAACGCGCCGCCTCCCGGAACGCAGCCCATTCCGGGACGACGAGCCCCGTTCTCGTTTGAGGGAAGCACCGGGCGATGCGCTGGGCCCCCAGACTGCGGCGTCCCCCCGCCACAGCGCGTCCCTTCTCTCCCCCTCGCTGCAGCGCAGAGCCGCCCCCACCCGCCAGGCCGAAACGAACCCCCTCCGGGCAGACCTCCAACAGCCTACCGTTCCAACCCAGAAGGCCCTTCTTCCTTCTCCCCTCCTTCTACCTAGGTGCTCTGGGAAATGTAGGCGGTGCGCCCCGCCTCCCGCCCGGCCGGGGAAAGAAAGGCGTGCGGGTGAGGCGGTCGGCTCGGTGTCCTGTTCTCAGCGCAGAAGATGGCAGCGGAGGAGGCCGTGGAGGCTGGGCTGTCTGCGGAGCGGCTGCAGGAGGCCGAGGAGGAGGCAGCAGAGAATGGGGCAAGCTCCGCGGGAGGTGGTGAGGCCGCGGCGCTCAGTAAGGGCCGTTGGGACGCCGGGTTGAGGGGGGAGGGGGGGGGGGGGAGCGAGCGGCGGCGGCGGCCGTGAAGCGGAGACGGTGGCCCACGGCCCACTTCGACGCGGGGGGGTGGGGAGGGTGGTGTGTTCGCGCGCGGGGCCGGGGCTGTGCAGTCTCATGTGGGCCCGGCGCCAGCGGTCCCGTCCGCTTCGTAGCCCGATTTCGGCCGCGGGCCGGCAGCTCGGGCCCGCCAGCAACTGGAATCCCGCTTCAGTAACGCGTGCGTTTGTCAGCAGGCCGGCTAGAAGGAGCGAGCGCGCTCGTTCTGACGCGGGTGTAGCCCGCCCCAACCATCTTGGCCCCGCACGTGCTCGGGACGTGCCGGGAGACCGGCTGTGCGGCGCTGCTCTGCGCGCCCTTCCACCTCACTGCCTGACCCCAGTGGTGCACGTGCGCTCAGTTCCACCTTTTAAAAACACGCACATAAACCCGCGATTTGATTTTGGCTCTTTCTATTTAAAAGTAAATTGTGTCGAAAAAGCTTTGTGACTTTTAAATAGACGAGCAGGCGGGAAGTAAATGCGAGAATCGGGTGATCTTCCATCTTCGCAAATAGGTCTGCGAGAAATACAGCAGCGCTGCAGTGATGCTGAGAGCTGTGCTGATCCTGGTTTGTTTTCCTTAAGGCAACTTTAGTGGGCGTTTCTCCTTTTCTGAACAACTTACCTGACCGTAAGGCGTTCCTGCAATTTCTTCTTTCTAGTTCTTTGGGATGGGAATATTGCAACGAATTGCAATTTTTAAAAGCTAAACCATCTTAGGAACTGTTACGAGATCCATCCAGCCCTTGTTCTGCCACCAGCCGTGACTGGGAATAGTTGTCTGAGGATGAACAGACTGAATGAACCCTCCAGAAATGCCTCCTACAGAACAGCAGGCAGTTCATCGTTTCCTTGAGCTGATGGCTTTGGGTTTAAAAGCTCACTGGCCATTTCTCTCCCATAACATTTTTGCTTTGGGACCTGCAGACTTGAAGAAGGCAGTGGCAGGGAGCTCTGCAGCATAGCACTAGCTTATGCAGAAATCTTCTGGTGTGATTATTCCAGCAATTTGATCCATCCTGGGTTATGCTAGGAGCGACAGAGAGCTGCACCTTTTCTACAGGTGTCTGTCATAATCACAGAATCACAGAATTATAGGGATTGGAAGGGACCTCCAGAGATCATCGAGTCCAACCCCCCTGCCAAAGTAGGTTCTCTACACCAAATAAATGGGCTGAGAAGCCATCTAACCTTTCCTGTTGGTTCTCAGTGGCTAGGAAGCTAATGCCTTAAAATTGTTTCTTGTCGCCCTTTTCTGAAACTTTCCTAGGACTATGCACGTTTTTAGTGGAGGGATATGGGGCAGTACTGCTCCGTGTGCAGGTTCTCCACACTTTTTTCTTTCAGTTCCTAAGCTGTTTTTTTTTGTTGTTGTTTTTGTTGTTTTTTTTTTGTTTTTTTTTTTTTGGAGTAGGTTTTATACTTGTTCCTTTAGTCAAAACTGTGTATTAAAACCTGAAGATAGTAATCTTGACTGGTATTGCTGAGGAGACAGCACACCCATTCATTCTATTCATATGGGAAGTTAAGATTACCTTTTACCCTGAGGCCCAGCACTTTACTGCTCTTTCTTTGTTTAATTCCCCAATTGCTAGGCCTCCTTTTTCGGGACTGTTGAACTAGCCACAGTTAACTACTGTTTTCAAACTTTTTTTTGTCAGTCCTGTATGATAGTTAAGTGTATTTGGACCTCCTGCGTGCTGCTTTGTATTGCTCACACTGTGTTTTGCAAGACAATAACATGCCAACGTTTTCCTGTTAGCTTCAAACAGCTGATAGTACAGATGAGTGAATGGTTTCTTCTGTCCAGGATGGTGTCCTCTCACCCTGGTTTCCAAGGGTGAGCAATAGTCTTTCAAATATTCTTCTCCAATACTCTGGTTTTACAACTTTTCTCTTTTACAGTAGCAAATATGGCTGAAAGCGAATGAACATAGCATTACAATTTCAATGTATCAATAACATTTTTACTTTAATTTGTTTGATTTTCCTAAGATGGCGAAGTTGGCTGTACAAAAGTGGAAAACAATAACCTGTCTGTGAAAGCTGGGTCAGAAGTAGAAACCAAAGAAGAAAGAACAGAGCATGAATCCATAAGGGAGTCTGATAGTAACATTTTGGATGTTTCATCTGATTATCCAAGAGGTTTGCTCATAAATATGAGTATTTCTGTAGTGTGTTTGAGCAAGGGAGAAGGAAAAGGTAGAAATGGTGGGTAAGAAAGTCAATTGGAATGTGTGCAGTTGAGTTTCTATGCATCTGGTGGCTAGTGATACTTTTTCCCATGTGGCTGTATGAAATATTTTCCTACAGTATTGAAAACTTCTTTCAAGTGAGATGCCATTTCATCCTCTCTATGATTTCTGGAAGCCACTTCCAAAATTAGTGCATGTGACAGCAGTGCAAGAGAATATCCACGCAAATGGGGAAGCAGGAGTTGATTTTAACCTTAGCTTTAATGCTCCCTGTCATATCTTTGCATATCAATCAGTTGCTCTTTTCATTTCATGTAAGAAAATCTGAAAGACTAATGTTGTACAAGCATTGGAAAGTTTTAAAGTCCTTGCAGAACTGGTCTTATAGACTGAGATGTTCTGTGTGCTGCAACCAATAGAACTTACTGGATAAGCTGATCCTACTGGGCTTAGCAAATTCCATGCTATTTCCATTGATAATTTGAAAACTGAGAAGGTAGTTTTAGATGTTCTCAAACATTCTAAGAAAAAAAAAAAAGGTAGAATTGAAAGTGTCCTGGTTTTATATTAAATAATTACTACTTAAAATCTATCCACCTCTGGCTGCCATTTTAGTTTTGCCAGGCCATTCATAGGATGATACTGCTTTGTGTATTCAGCAACAATGGCATGTAGAAAAGTCAGAGACAAATAGTATGTGACTTGCTCTTTTCAGCTTGAGTTTTTCAAATGAAGATCACTTCAAGTGGAGAATTCTGATGTGTGTCAGCATTGAAAAGCAAGTAGAATATCTTCATCCTACTAAAAAAACAGTTTGGGGATTAATTTTGCGAGTTACTCTTTCTACTGGAAACTAAAGGATAGAAACAAGTATTCCATTTGGTGTTGTTGACCCTTTCCAGTAGTAGGCTTGAAGTGATGGACTAAGTAATACAATAGTAATAAAAAACACATTTTTAAGAGTATATTTAATTTTTGAATCTCTCCTGTTTTAGAGAAACATCTTTCCATTCAAAGACAACTTGCTGATCTAGAGAAACTGGCTGACCTGAATGAAGGTGAGTCTACCTTAGCAGTACCCCAGGCCACAAATCTTCACGTTTCAAGTATTTACGTTTTTCCTCAATAGCTATTTTTCAAACACTGCTTCTGTTTTGTTCTTCATTTGTTTGTGATGCTCAGAGACCAAGGGATTCATTACTGAATAACTTTATAATATTTATTCTTTTTTTTTTTTTAATCAACTGCTGTACTTCTTTCAGTAAATCAATACCCTTAAGCATTTTTTTTTCTTCTGCATTTTTTTAATATTGGTAGCATGCATGGATTAGCAGAATGTTTACTCTAGCTATACTTACATCAGCAGCTCAGTCTCACTTAGGCTCATTAGTCTCACTGTAGCCACAATATCAGGGAAGCTAATTGTTGTCTTTATAGCGTTTAATCTTCTGTTTCCGTTGTTTCCTTACTTTATCATTTTTTCTGATCCATTTTTTTAGTAGAGGACTGCTTAGGAGTGTTAAGCATTTTTATTACAACTCTTAGCAACTCCTGTTTTTTCTCAGATCACATGTCTGTCTTTAATATAAATAGTGCCAGTCCTTGCACCTGAAACTCGTTTTTATTCACAGGTCAAGAAAAACATCAGTGTGTAAACTACGTCATACAGCTCTTGCGCCTTAATAATCTTCTAGGTTGTTCACTGATAATAGCCTGCTTCTGTAGCTGCTTATTTTGACCAATAAATATACAGAGAGAATAGTTTCTATAGAAAGTTAGGTTGTTCTGTATTTAATGAAGAGATGAGTAATAGATTCTTCTTAGGTCTGATGTTCATGGGTTTTAACTTTTATCAGACCAAATTCTGCATTAAGACATGGCGCCGATTAGAAAATAAAAAACAACGAAAGCAACTCTATTCCCTTGCCTGTTCTCAATAGTCAGTTTTTTCTTTCTACCATGGAATTACCATTCTTCTGCATGGAATTAACATTCTTCTTCAGAAGAATGTGTGAATGAATTGACTTGTGTTTATTGTCATTACCTCGTGTTTGAGATTCAGTAACGTGTGGCAGTAGCAGAGCCTTATCAACCTTAGGGAGAAGCAATGCTCGATTTCAACTGTTAGCTGCTTCTCCTGGTGTCAGAGGCACGGGATACTGCAGGGGTGTGGTAGGTTGCTTGTAAGAAGGCCATATCAGATGAATTCTGTTGTTTGTGAGACTAAGGAATTAGTATATCAACACCCACACTGTGTAGAAAGTTCCAGTATTCATCCTGTACTGTGGCACTACAAACCTTTCTGCCAAATTCTACATGAGAAGTTGATTTTTCAGCAGTAGGAGACCCAGAGGCAGCTGTATGCATGCCCTGGTCTGTAATTCCCACAGACTTAAGTGCACAGCCTGTGTGTCCCAGGACCTAGCTTTTACTTAGGATGTATTTGGATTGCTTCAGCTTTTACTTAGGATATATTTGGATTGCTTCAACACCTTTGTTGCCAGACAATTTTGCACTTGCTTTAGTGTTCTAAAAACAAGATTTCCTGAAGATTATTATTAGTACTGAGTACAGTATTTTTGCAGTTTGAAAAGATACCAGGTGCTTGCTTTACCTAAAGCCATGTTCAGAGGCTCAGGAGCATAAAAGACAGGTTCTTGTTCTCTCACTGTTTGGGTTTTCTTGAAACACTGTAAGCCTCTGGATGTCTGTAAAATTCCCTCACTCTGCAACGCTGTTAAGAAGTTAGATTATGATCAAATGGCTCTGAAATTTAAAATAAATAAATAAATAAAGTCAAAAATGTGGAACTGACTGTTGTAGAAGAGGATGATCTTGAAAGAAATAATATTTTTTGTTTGTATTCCTTTAAGTAGAAAGCAAAGAGAATCCATATATTGCATATATATCCATATATATCCTGAGAAACTAATCTTCAGTTCCATTGGTTGGACTTGCCTTCTCTTTTTGATGTGCATCTCTTAAAAGGTATTGCAACTGCTTTTACACGTTTCTCTTCATAATCCTTGTTGGTATTTTCAGCTGAAAAGAAGCCTTGTCCTTTGTGTCCTGAAGAGAAATTTAAAGCCTGCTATGGCCATAAACTTCATCGTCACCTCCAGAATTTGCACTGGAAAATTTCTGTGGAATTTGAAGGTAAAATAAGCCATCTTTCAACAGTAAATAGCAAAAGAGAGGGCAGATGTGGAGGACATTGGTCTGTGGTCTTTTTTAGCTCCTCTTGACTTAAGTATGAGCTTCGTGCACCTTATCAGCTCTAAACCAGAACCCTATCTTGACCATTTACTTTGACATGGGATATAAAATAGAAATGTAAAATAGCTCTCCATTTTTTTACATGCCAAAATAGTTCAAATTGTGCATTTTCTTGTTTAAAAAAAAAAAAAGTGCTTGACGTGTCATGATAATACAATACATCTATTTGATGCAAACTACTTTAATAAATGTTTTGGTTATATTAGAGAAATTTCCACCATCACTCCCACCTCACCCTGCTGTCCTTTTTGCGTTGTCATAACATTTCTTTGGGTTCAGATAACTGCTCCAAGTATTGATTCAGTATAAGTATTCTATAGCCTTATCTTTCACGCTACCAAACTCTGGTCTGTTTACAAGATACATTAAAATCCTTACAAGGAGTTTTAAGAAAAAGAGTGAGCATCATATGTTTCTTAATAAACAAGATGTGCAAGTTTGCAGGAAATAATATAACCATCCAGAGTATGGCAAAACTGAAGTTAAATTAAATGAAACAATTTTCAGACTGTAGCGTGCTTTTGTTTTATAGGGTACAGAATGTGTATCTGCCACTTGCCTTGTCGTGTAGCAAAACCAAACTTCGTTGCAGATCAGGTAAAAGTGGTGAATCATAGAAGTGTTTCTTAGCCTATGCGATGGGGGGAGATGGGTGATTTTGAGTAACTTCTACAGACTATCCTTAATCTGAAAAGTATGACTTCTCTCCATTGCACTACACCAGGTGTGCATCAGTCCAGAATAATGTCTTGATATAACCCTGTGGGGAGCTGAATGTCACATCTCTGGCATTTTGGTGAACAGCTGCCTACATCTTGCAAGAGCAGCTCTCTGTGGGAGAGATGAAGAGTCATGGCAGCAAGCAGTGGGTGCTTCTCTGCTCTGTCCCTGTGTGCTGTGTCGTGCAGCTGGATGGGCTGTGTTGCTGCAGTAGGACAGTGTGCTGTGTGGGTCTGGTTATTTGCAGTCTCCAGGCTGCAGATTCACAATGTTTTATGCGTAGTAGAGTTAAGACAGATGACTTCTTCATCAGCCTGTGTTTAGCGGGAGTCCAAATTGAACCACATTTATGTGTTCTGAAAGTACATTTTGTGTTATAGGCGTTTTCAAAGATGGGAGCACACTACCACTGCATCATCTGCTCAGCAACTATCACACGAAGAACTGATATGATAGGACATATTAATCGCCATGTCAATAAAGGAGAAACTGAATCAAGATTTATTACAGGTAAATTCTGAAAAACATTTGATACTTTGCAGCGTGGGTTATCTATGATGACAGACATGAGAAAAATTCATAAACAGAATTACTTGGGTTTACTAATGAGAATTCTGCTCTTAATTTTTCAGAATGTGTTTTTTCCTGAAAGATTTGGGAATGCTGTGGTTTTTGTCTCTGTTAACCAGTTACTCTGTTTGTAGAGATGGATAATGTGCTCTTCACAAACAGATCAGTGCTGTAAATGTAGGTTTCTACCTTTCCAGTACAATGGAGAACCTGGTGTCCTTAAAACAAAACCTGCACTGAGAATTTAATTCCTTCTCTTGGCTGTGTTTGTTATTAAATCAGTCTTCAGTAAATCTTTCTACAGCATACATGTGTGGTGGTGGTTGTTGTTTTTTACCAAATGGCATCAGCAGGAGTTTACAAATTGAGCTGCTCTATTATTCAGTCCTGGAGAGCTGTGATCGTGATATTACAAGTTCTTCGGATTTTAATTTTGTCTAACCTTCTCAAGAATTAGACTTTTTGTTTTTAAGCTTGGATAAAAATGAGACTGAAAGCATTCTAGGTAATTGGAACACCAGATGTCTCTAATTAATTTAATTTCCTTTATTTTCACAGATTTTCTTTTATTTGCAGAAAGTACATTGTTTTGCTTTTGTGTAAAAACTAAGATTTTTTCATTATGGCCCAGACAGTTCACTATTGAAACTTGTTCTTTTTGTTTGTTCATCTATTTTGTCTGTAGACATATGGATGTCTCTATCTGTGTGCAGATGCATGGATGTTTCTGTCTGTAGATGTATAGATTTTACCTGGTTTTAGTAAGAGCAAGATGTGAGGGTCACACTTAGTTTTGTTGTCAGTCTACAGTTTAGGAATAGCAGCTTAATGCCTGGTGTCAGTTTTTATGTCTGTGAAGTAGAAGTAGAACATGTTTCCATGGAAGCTTCATGACATGAGAAACTTCAGGCTTCTCTTGCCTGTTGCATCATATCTCTGTTTGATTCCCTTCAGAGCAGTTAGTAAAAATGTTGTACTTTTAAAATGCATGTGGGTAGTTTTCCTGCTGGGTATATGAGAAGAAGCTCTTGGAGGATGTTTGGTGCTTAGGAGGCACCAGCAAATGCTGAGGGCTATGAACATGGAGCAGCATGGCAGAGCAGCTCAGATGTGCTGCCTGCATGCTTGAAGCACCGTGAGATGGGCAGGCTGTGCACTGAGAGAGGTCTCTGGCTGAAAGCTTCCACATTTTTCCTGGTTATCTCTGGGTAAATTTTGCTGCTGTTAGACTGGGGAATAACTGCTCAGAGGAGTGACAGTGTTACAGCTGTTAAATGAAGAACACCTGTTTTACCACAGTCTGTACAAAACTTAAACACTGAAATTGTCAATCAGTTTCATGAAGCTTTTTGAAAACTCTTTAAAAGAGATTGGATCAAGGAATTGAATGGTTCACATTCGTGGCCGTATTAAAAGTGTTTTAGTTACCTAGCAAATACTACTTGTACATACAGAACAAATGTGATAAGCCTCAGGCTCTGGGCTTACTTTCTAAAATCTAGGTGGATATAGAAGAACTGAAGTAAGAAACAAATCCTGTATTTTATGGCAAGAAAATCATGGTAGAGCTTGAGCCTTGTCTGCTGCTTTCCAGACTGTAAGATATATTTTTTCCTTCCTTCCTTCTTGTGACTAACTGGTCCATGTCTGCCAGCTGGATGATTGCACTGTTTGTTACCTGGGAGCAAAAACTCAATGTCACGTATCAAATATCCTAATCTGAATTTCTGTTCTCACTTTTTCCTTGTCTGCAATTATTTTTTCAGCTCCTGCTCCCAAGTCATCTTGTGAAGTGCTGAAAGAGGCAGACGCAGATGTGCAGGTTCTTCCCAACTATTTCACACCTCAAAAAACAGACTCCTATTTTAATCCCAAAATGAAGCTCAACAGGTGAGAGAACTGGGAGTGGGAAGATAGGAATGAGGGTAGGTGACTTTGCAGAGTGAAATGTCGATGAGTTATGAAGAATATACCCTGTGGGTGCTTGATTTGGAGGAGAAATAGCTTTTGTGAGTAACAAGAAAGTTTCTGGAATAAGAATTCCCTTTAGATGTGCTTTTAACTTGTCTGCTAGGATAATTTCTGTTGATTTTGGAAAGTTTTCCATCAGTAAGCTCTTGACAAATACTGTTAAAATACAGAAATGCTATTTCAGAAGTCTTGTTATTTCTAAAGTGGCTAAGACTTTGCAAAAAATATATGCAAAAGAGCAGGATTTTAAAAGAAGAGCAGGCTTGAAAACTGATTTCTGTGTGTACACGTGAGATCTTTTTCTGTGAATTCCACCGCTGCTCACTGATCATTCTTCTTTAACTGAGGGGCAGTGTACCTAGGCCTTCTTTATTTAGGGCTTTTTTTTTTTTTTTTTTTTTTTTCTTCTTGGATGTCAAATTCTCACAGGTTTCTTCCTGTATTTGCTCTAGAAAAGATGAAGGAAGGAAAGCCTTTTTTAGGAAAATCGTGAATGATTTGTGTCTCACAAGTAAAATATGCAAGCATTACCACCAAGGCAGTGGGCTGGACTTCACCCTGGCTGACCCCTTGTCTCACTGCTGTAAATGTCCCAGCTTCCAGGCTTAAAGTTAGTTCAGTTACATTTATGAAAACTGAGACGTGCTTCTGAAGGAAGCCAGCTAAGTTTGTGGTCAATACCTCATTCCTTTCAAATACAGAGCAATTAATAGGGTAACCTCAGATCGTGCTGGGAAAGGAGGAAAAACTCTACTTGAGATACCTGGAAAATGACTCGGGATCTTACCTTAGAAATTTTCTGCTTAGTTGAGTCACTAAATTGAATGTGAAACACCATGGTATCCATTAAGGAGGTTAAAAGTAAACCTAACTACTGAAATTAATCTTTCAGTGTTAGCTAAGCTTTCTGATTTACAATTCTTTTGTTCAGAAGGTGATCTGCCTTCATTGTTCTGGGAAGGTACTCAAGGGAAACAGGTAAGAGGAAGAAAAAATTTTATCACCTTCTAATGGCTTTTTACATTTTTTAAATTTTCCAGGCAACTGATATTCTGTGCACTGGCTGTTTTAGCTGAGGAACGTAAACCAATAGAATGTTTGGATGCATTTGGTGCTACTGGTAAAATCAAGCTCTTTATCTTCAGTTAACATCCGATAGTATGAAACTGCAGAAATGAGTAGTAACAGTCTTGTCATGTTGTGTTTGAGTATGCTGTTTTCTTGCTTAGGCAGACAGTCATTAGCTTACATACAACCTTCAAGAGCTTAGATTAGGTCCTTTGAAAATGATTGCAAATAATATTAAATTGAAGTTAAGTGGTGTGCTTGAAAACAGTTGTCTTAATGTTCATGAAATTCTGTCTTCAGAAGTGTGCAATCAAGATCTTGAGTCTTCTGAGCCTTGGTGGCTGTAAAACCAACCTTTGGTTAAACAATGGTAGTGTATCCAGGTTTCTTTACTGAATCCTCTCTGATTGATAACAAATTCTGAACTTGAACTAACTGTAAAGTTGTTCTGCTGGAGTCCACTAGCATTCTGGAATAAAAATGAAAAACTCTGAGCTGCTGCACTACTGCACTATGTTCACTCTGCTTTTATAAACCTAAATTTACAGATGAGAACAACAGTAGCCACTCAGCATTTTGCATAAACTTAGTCACTGTTCCGAACCAGGTGAAATTTCAGAGCTGCAGCCCCTCCTGCATTTCTACAGGATAATCCTGTAGTTGGCTGAAAAGCAGCAAGAATATTTGCGAGTTGCATTTTGCTGTATTGGAGCTCTGAGCAAGCCAAGGGTCTTCAGCACAATTTTTAACTCCATCACTCATATTTTGGTCTGTAACTCCCAATTCTTGTATAAGAAGGTGGCAGATCATCCTCTCACAAACTTCAGTGTGACTGTAGTGGTGCAGAAGGTCACCAGGATAATTGTTGCAGAAGCATACCAAAGCTTTGCAGCATGCTGTTGTGTTATAAGCATTTAAAGGGATGTGGGTTTGTTTTGAGTTAGGTGAACCAGAAGCCAGCTCCCTTGTTCCGTCATGGAGTTACGTTTCTGTCTTTCCATAGGTATAATGGGATTACAGTGGGCAAAACATCTCCGAAGTTCTGTCAGAGTTACAATTAATGATTGCAATGAGAATTCTGTGACAATGATTCAGGAAAACTGCCATTTAAACAAAATGAAGGTGAAAGTGAGTGCTAAGGAAGAAGACAATTACGAAGCTCTAGGAGATGGAGAAGAAAATACTGATACCATTGAGGTGACAAAAATGGACGCCAATGTTATAATGCATTTGAGATCATTTGATTTTATGTAAGTATTAGATACTTCTCTTAATAAGTTCTCTGTTTTGATCTTGATACTCCTTGTCCTATTTCATGCCCCAGCGTAAGTTGGAATTAAAGAAGCAACCAACATGCAGTTGCAAGATGCATGAAAACTGAAAATTAAAAATTATTTTTAATATTTTAGAAATTGTTGGAAAAATATTAAAGACTTTTGACATCCAGAATGAAATATGAATGTGCATGAACATTTTAAGCCGAACATTTTTTGGTACAATATCATTGCCTATGTGATAAAGAGAAATGTCACAGAATGAAACCTAGTTTTCACTGTGCACATTAAGGTCTTTTGGGAAGCATTATCATAGGCTCATGGGATGGTTTGAATGGAAGGAGCCTTGAAGCCCACCCAGTTCCAGCACTGTGCTGTGGTGAGGGAACTTCCCACCAGATCAGACCTCCCAGGGTCCATCCAGCTTGGCCTAGAGCAGCTCCAGGGTTGAGGCATCTTCTGTGCTTAGCCTGCATCAGGGCTTCACAATCTCATTGAGAAATGTCTTTCTTATGTCTAAGGTCTGCTTCCTTTATTTGATCTGAAAAGTTTTTTTAGTTATCCCATGTCACAGAATCGCAGAATTGTGATCAATAACTCATACCTTGGGTTGGAAGGGATCTCCAGAGATCGAGTCCATTACATTCCTTGATTAGGAGTCTCTCTCCTCAAATTTGTCAGGCTTTTGTTTGTTTTGTTTTTTTCTTTCCTTAGAGCATCTAATGGACTTTAAATGCATGCATTTCCATGCTACTGGACAGGCCTGAATTCTTATTGCATGACTTGATTTCCTGTAATGCATTTTGCAGCACATTTGTTTTCAGTGGAGGTGAGATTGAAAACCCTACAGGCATCAAAATAAGTGCTTGGATGTTTTTGTACTGTTCAGCCTCCAGATCTGAGCTAATTAAGCTGCAGGTATTCAGGCTGATGGTTAGCTACTTAGTACATAAACTGGTGTGCATGCTTAATAAATATATATAAAATGTTTCTAGCAGTTTGTTTTTTTTTTTTAAGGACAGAGGTAATTGTCAGGCCAATATTCTTGTCACTTGAGCTAGTCAAGGAATCAGGATGCAAAAAAAACTCAACACTTTCCGACCTTGTAGTGCTGTGTATTTTCCAGCACATTCAAGCGCTGGCTCTTGTAATTTTGGCACTGAATCCTATAGTGTTGTGGAGTAATTCAAGGGAGTTGATTTTTGTTTTTAAAAGGAAGGATAAATGGTTAATGCAGAGTGCAACCTGCTTTCTTTTTAGACATTTGGACCCATTTGGAACTTCTGTGAATTACCTGGATTCTGCCTTCAGAAACGTGAGGAATCTTGGAATTGTATCGCTGACATCCACAGACATCAGTTCTCTGTATGCAAAGGCTCAACACGTCACCCTGCGTCACTATGGATGTAACATTGTGCGAACGGAGTACTACAAGGAGCTGGCAGCCAGGACAGTCATTGCTGCTGTGGCAAGGTATTGCTAGAACAGATCAGCTCAGAGCAAATTATTTTGATGCAGAATTTCAAACTCCCACTGTAGGTTACGCATGCTGAATTTCCAGAATTCTTGGACTCTACAAGCCAGACTTCTTGATACAGAATCTATGCTTCGTATTTTATCTCTGCTACTATGTAAACTTAACTAATGTACTTTACATTAGTAAACTTCACATACTACATTTTAAACTAAAGGCTCAGGAAAGATGGAAGTACATAAATAGGGTAGGGGTTTGGGATGTTGAAAGGGTGATGGGTTTTGGTTTTGGTGGGGGGTGTTATCCTAGACTAGAGAACGACTAGCTGGACTTTGAGATAGGTGAGTTTGGTTCTTTTCTCAACTTTGTTGCCATTTCAGTACTGCACACAGCTTTATGAATATTAACTAAAACACTTCAGTGGCTTCTAGCTAAGAATTCCAGGGTTGTTGTTTTTTTTTTAATGATAACTAGTGTTAAGGGAAACTGGTGTCCACTTTGGAATAGGCCACCTGCTACCCCCTGGAGCCTGGGTTGGTCCTGCCTGCTCTAGATATTTCTAATAACTTTGGCCGGTTAAACAAATGAGGACTGAAAATCTAGTCTCTAATTAAGGAAGAAAAGGACTGGCCAAACTGCTAGGGAAGAAAAAAAGAAGAAAATACATGCAGAGGTCTTTGGAATGGCAGAGCTAAAAAACTGATGGGAATGCATTTAGACTTTAATTTTTTCATCTCCCTTCCTGTGGTAGGTTGCAGAACATTCTTAAACATCTGATTAAACATAACCTTACTTTGAAACTACATTATGAACTGAGATTTGGAGAGGGGGATGAGGTTGAACTTCTTAGCTGTTCAGATGAAGTTTGATCAGTTCTGGTTTACGAGTTCCAACTCTCTGAAAATTTTCTTCTTATCAGCGCTTATCTGCTCAGGAACTGCTGCCTTGTCTTCCTGCAGTCCTTATTTAATTAGTGTTTGATGGTTTACCATTGTGTGTGTCATTCTAAATCTCAGTTTTCTTGGCTTCTCATCCAGTTTGTTCAGATTTTTAGTTACGTTATCCTGGTAGTAGGTGGGTATTGGGATAGAAGGATGATGGAAGAACAGACCAGTATTTGTTAGTTAATGAAAACTGGAGTGTGACGTTCTCAGCGCTATGGGAAGTAGACTACACTAAGCGTTTAAGAAGCGATTCTCTCCAGATTGCTTTCCTAAAGTTTCAGTGTCGGTTTCTAGAAAGCAGGTGAGCTCAGAAGTCTTTCAGGAGCTTCGGGTGTCTGTAGAAATGTTACTCTACTACATTCAGCATCATTTGGTGTGTTTGTTTTTCCTCTGTAGATCTGCAGCTCGCTGTAATAAAGGCATTGAAGTCTTGCTTGCAGTAGCCCTAGAACACTTTGTTCTTGTAGTCGTCAGAGTTTTAAGGGGACCATCTCCTGCAGATGATTCAGCGAAGAAAATAAGATATCTCATCCACTGTCAGTGGTGTGAGGAGAGAATTTTTCAGAAAGAAGGCAATATGGTAGAAGGTAAGTGAGTATTTCTCGTCACTTTCTTGAGCGTATGATTTCCTTTGTGGGTTTTGATTTGTTTTTTCTTCTGTTTGTTAAGGTCTTGTTTATGTTTACATCTCCTTAAGTATTATTTCTATTTAATGTAAAGATGCGTACAGTGTATGAAGCTACTTCTAATACAAGCTGTCTGTTTTATGGTAGCTGCTTAGATTGGTTATGTTCATGAATTTTGCTGTAAATGTTTTGGATTTACTGCTAGACAGCACACACTCAGGCTCACTGTAGCTGCTGAGGGATGACCGATATGCTGTTCAGCCCAGCCTTTTGGTGAAGGGCTTGAGGAGCTGGCTGCCATTCTGCTCCCTCCATGCAGGAGTGGCTTGATGGATTTAGTATCAGATTGCTTTCTGCAGAGCATTGTGTTCAGTTACCTGAAAGTCCAACAAAATCAATAGTATCACTTTCCCTTGGGTGAGGGTATGTTTTGCCTGCTTGGGCCTTATCTGTAAATGCCAGATGGAAATAATTTTAGTAGGTGTGGTAAAAAACAAGTTCACAGCATCCCTTCGGTTCATCTAACGCTTGGGAATAAATGGAGGCAGCCTTTCTGTCAAAAGCTGAGCTTGAGCTTGTGAGCTGTCTCTGTACAAAATTCAAGCTGGAGGGTGGACTAGCCAGGTAATAATTGAAATGGATGTAAAAGGAAAAACCTCATTTATTTCAAAGTTGCATGTTCCTGGATGTTTTGCTGTTTAGCTGGTGGTGTCTTTGAACACCCTGCTTCAAGTCAGGTGCAAGAGTGTGCAGTGATTTTTTCATTAAAGAGATTCAGTCCTGTTTTTATAGACATAAGTGAGTAACTGATAAGTGCAGTGTTATGGTGGAGATCTTAATAAATTAGTGGTTTGATACTCTACCTGCAAGCAGTCTCACTTACAGTCTAGAGATCTTGTAGGCAAGGTGTATTTTATGTATGTGACTGACAGATGTTCACATTTTTGTTATTGATGTTTACTGCTAGCCTGGGCAGCTGCACATATAACTGTAGGAAAATTAGTAATTTCCTCATCATTTGAAATCTGCTAAGAAATGGAGCAGATTAGGTAGTCATTTTTACAGCATCATTTTAACAATGATTACAGCTCAAAATCGTCACTCACTGAACTGAAGAGCACTGCCGCAGTGTTTGACATAAGTGAGAGTGCTGTTGCACTTATGCTGTTGTTTACCCTTCTAATTACTTTAGTAAACTTACTTCATGTCTGTATCATCTCAGTAAACACTGATGACTTCCAAATTCACTGAAATCCTGTTTTCCTGTTGCAGAAAATCCTTATCAGCAGCTGCCTTGTGATTGTCATGGCAGTATGCCTGGGAGGACAGCAGTAGTTCTTGGTCCTCTCTGGTAAGTTCAGAGAACAGCATGGAATTGCAGGGTAACTGGGGCTGGGAGGACCTGCAGAGGTCGACTGCTCAGTCACTGCATAGAAATGCAGGTCTGCTGCATCATCCGTCGCTGTAAAATGAAACTGGCAGTCAGGAGTAATTTAGGAAACAGTTGACTGATTCTGTTCTCTGAATTTAGGAAGGTGTTCAGGTTTTTGTTTTGTTCATAGCGTTCAAACCAGTAAATAAATAACAAATTCACTTTAAACTTCACACTTAGTGCACCTATTTTAGTATGTCCTGCACTGAAGAACCTGGCTCTGTGTTCCTCTGATTGCTAACGTCATGAAGTTGTTTATTACTGGATACTTACAGAGTGTACATAATAAATCCTAACACGTGCTGATGGAAGTACACTACTTGATGATTTTTAAATTGCCTCTTATGAAAAACAAAAATAAATTCTTTAAGTCTTCTAATGGTTTCAAAGCAGCATTAAAAGCACTAGCTTTCTTCCTGATAAAAGTGGGACTGAAAGACTTTCTCTACCTAGTACAGAAAGTCAGTAGTAGGAATAATAGTCCTGAGATCTTTGTTTTTTGTGCAAGATCAATGCTGCTGTCCTTGGAAACCAAGCCACTCTATACTGCTATGTTAGGCAGCAGTACAGTGCAGCTCCTTGGTGTAATTTAACTGCAAATCACTCTGAGTGATTTTTTTCAAGGGAATTTTTTTTGCTTTCATTAGTAAAGTCTTCTCACTTCTCCTACATTTCCTAGGTCAGGAGCTCTATTTAATACTGGGTTCCTCAGAAGAATGCTGTTTGAAGCTGTCCAGTATGGCTTAGATGATGTTCAGCCACTTCTGAAAACAGTGGTCTGTGAAGCTGAGTGTACAACTTCCAAGAATTTTTCTACCCATAGTCCTTCTGATGAGAACAAACAAGGTAAGAAAAAAACTGTGACCTCTTAATGAAGAGACTGGCTTGGTGGTTTTGGAGAGATTGCTCTTGGGTAACAATGCTAACAGCAGAGTACGTGCCACAAGGTCAAGGAAATAACTATTACTTTGAAGTGTGAGGCTTGGTTTGCTGCAAAAAAAGTAGGATCTATCAAAGGCAGAGTGCTGGATTTATACCTATGTAACCACTATGGGAGATCCTGAAACAGATAAGCATAACGTGGGCAGGCTGACCACTGTGAAATGCACCATGTTCCCTGAAGGAGCTGGAGGTGGTGCGTGTCTCTCAGTTCTCTCTTGTATTCTGCTCCTCACCACTGAGGACTGCGGTTGCTGCTCTGTATTCTCTGCTGGAATACTAAATCATTCCACCAAAAGGAACAACTTTCTGCACTTGCATGCTCTTTTACCATTAAACAAAGTTATGTTTTTAGTATTTCCTCTAAATTCAATTACTGAGCTGGTAAGCAGATGAACTATGTGCATGCCTCTCACTGTACTTTTGACCTCAGGCTGGGAGCTGATGGTGGGTTTTTCTGTTGAACTCGGGCATTTTGCCATTCCATTGTTTTACAGCAGACTTAATTTTGACCTTTAATTATGTTCTAGAAGAGTGTGGCGTATATATTAAAACACCAGATATGCTGGCAGAGTCTGATGTGGTGCCTGGTGAGTTGATTGGTTTTGTTCAACCTCAGCAACTTCAGAGTATGATTTTATACTTGAAGTGATGGCCAAGCCAAACGAGTATTCAGCTGTAACTTCTTTGTATTTAATCATACTTGAGTAAGAATTATTTTCCAATTGCATAATTATTTTACTTCATCTAGAGTGATATTTGTCATGTTTCCTGGTAAAAGCACGATGCTAATTACTTAATTAAGCATGAATACATCCATAAAGGCGCAGTTGCTGTGTGGGTTTTCTGTATGTACTATCTTTGGCTTTGCTGGCTTTTTTTTTTTTTTTTTTTTTTTTTTTTTTTAAAAGTGGACTTAGTGAATATTCATAGGTTTCACTGGCCTTTTTTGTGATTCAGGAAAAAGAAAAAATAATGAAGTGATGCGAAATGCGACCAAACGACAAAAAACTGACAACAGTGCGGAGCACCCTGCATTTTACTACAATATCCACAGACACAGTCTTAAAGGAATGAACATGCCCAAGTAAGGCTTGTATCTACATTCCAGCCTTACAGTGCTATGATGACTAACGTATAATTTGTACTGAACCAGCCTCACCACTGTTAATGCCTTCTTACATGGCTTTTTCAGGTTAAATAAGTTCTTAAACTACCTCTCTGAAGCTGGATACAGAGTCAGCAGAACCCACTTTGATCCTATGGGCGTTCGCACCAACGCTCCCTTGGCACAGTTCAAGACTGTTCTCATGAAGCACAGCACTCCCACGTATGCTGGGGGGCAAACAGAAGGCCCTCTCCAACTGACAGAAGATGTCCAGGTGGGAGATCAGCTTCAAGCTGCTGCAGACAGCAAGGCAAAGGATGATGAGCTTCTGGAAGAGAAAAAATCTGGAGACACTGCCGCTATCTTCGCAGAAGACTGCCCTACTCACTGTGCAGCCAATTAGTCCAATCCTTTTGGATTTACATGAGAACTTGCACCTACGCTCTGTTCAAGCACACCAGTACTCCTTGCAGACCTGGAATTTGACAGTTTGAAATCCCTGCAATTTCCATTGGAGAGGATGTTTTAGAATTCTAGACCTTAGCACTGAAAGCAGCAGTGTGTATGGTCGAGATGATTTTCCTGTGGGAAAATTATTAGATGGTTGGTTCTTTCACACTTGCATCCACTTTCACATTGAGCATTGTAGCTAGCACCAAGTCTTTGTATGGCCTTATTCAAGCTGCTGGAACAGAATATAGGAGAGTGGATGGGGCCAGAAGTCTGAAGCATTTCTGAACATAAATTTAGTTTGAATCAGATGATAGTTCCTAAAACCTGACCTGTTAGAACTCAAAGGAAGGTCACATTAAGGTGATAAAATACCGCAGGACAAAATGTGACATGAAGCCAGAAGGTGCAACTTGGTGCACTTGTAACTCCACATTGCTCATGTAATTTGGCCTTCCGTTTTGTTTCTGTAGATCTACCTACAGGCAAAATCCTAACACAAGTGAGAGCAGAAAGGAACACATACAGAGCTGTACATAAACTTCAGTTCCTAACTAAGCTTTAGTGATTTGTCTGTACTCACTCCAGGTAGTTTGTTTGCTCTGAGATTTAATTTGGTTGTACACTTTTAAAAAAAAAAAAAAGTATAGTGAGCAGACATCACAGTCTGAAGTTCCAGACTATTAATTTGTTAATAGTACAGTTTGCTGTCAAAAGATCTCTTCAGTGTCTGAGACGCTATTTGTTGGTAGTCATTTTGGGTTTCTTGAAATACATGGCAACATTCCAATCAAACAAACCTGCCTTCATTTTTATTTTTTTCCCCCCCCCAAAAAAATCATTTTACTTGGAGAAGAAAAAAAAAAAACAAAACAAAAACATTTTACTTGGATTCTTAGATTCACAGAATGGCTTAGGTTGGAAGGGACCATAAAGATCGTCTGTTTCCAGCACCCTGGAGTGGGCTGGTTGCCACCTACCAGATCAGGTTGCCTGGGGCTCTATCTAGGCTGGCCTCGATGCCCACAGGGATCCCACAGCTTCTCTCGGTGGCCTGTGACAGGCATCTCTGTGCTCTGAGAAAAGAATCCCCTCCTAACTTTAAACTAAAATAGGGGAGATTTAGGTTAGAACTGTTCCCTGTTGTTCTGTATTTGCCTGCATAAGAAGTTGATCTCCCTTTAAGTATTGGAAGGTCACAATGAGATCTCCCCAGATCTGCCTTCTCCAAGCTGAACCACTTTAGCTCTCTCAGACATCCTTCATAGGAAAGGTGCTCCAGCTCTCTGATCGTCTTAATGGTCTTCTGGACCTGCTCCAACACCTCCACATCTTTCTTATGGTGCAGTATTCCAGATGAGGTCTCACAAGGGTGGGCTTGAGCTGGACAATTGCTTCCTTCTCCCTGCTGGCCACTCCTGATGCAGCCCAGGACACAGTCAGCCTTGTGGGCTGTAAATACAAACTTTTTATCCACCAGGACCCTAAGTCTCCCAGGTCTGCTCTGACTAAATGTCTGGCATTCTCCTGACCCAGATGCGGCATATTACACTTTGCCTTCTTGAAACTCATTAGCTTCATATGCATCCATTTTTCAGAGCTTGTCCTTTGGATGGCACCCCTTTATCATGTCAGCTGAAGCACTTGGCATGGTGTCATCTGAAAACTTGCTGCAGGGGTACTTGCCTTTGCTCTCTAGCTCATTGATAAGAGTACTGATCCTAGAATGGAGTCCTGAAGGATGTCTGCCCCCTGTTCTCACCTCCATAATGACATTGACCAAAACCCTCTGGATGTGACCATCCAACCTATTCCTCATTGACCAAATAGTCCACACTTAGTTTCTCTCCGATTTAAAGGTAAGGATGTGATGTGGTACCATGTCTAAGGCCTTGCAGAAGGTAGACGACATCAGTTGCTCATTCTTTGTCCGCTGATGGCATTACTCCATCATAGAAGGCTGCCAGTTTGTCAGGCACACCGTGTCCTTGGTTGGCTGTCTCAGATCAGCTCCTTGCCTTGCACATGCCTTCTTGTAGTTCCCAGAGTGTTCTGTTCCACAGTCTTCCTAGGAATAAAGATAAGGCTCATCAGTGTGTGAAAACCCTCGGTGAACCTAACTCTCGGGTGAACCTAATGAGGTTCAACACGGCAAAGTGCAAGGTTTTGCATTTGGGCCGGAAGAACCCCAGGCACCCGTACAGGCTGGGAGGAGTGGTCCTTGAGAGCAGCTCGGCAGAGAAGGACCTCGGGGTCCTGATGGACGAGAGACTTAACATGAGCCAGCAGTGCGCTCTGGCAGCTCGAAAGGCAAATGGGATCCTGGGCTCCATCAGGAGAGGGGTGGTCAGCAGGGACAGGGAGGTGATTGTCCCTCTCTACTCGGCTCTTGTGAGGCCCCACCTGGAGTACTGTGTCCAGGTGTGGAGCCCTCAGTACAAGAAAGACATAGAGATCTTGGAAAGGGTCCAGAGGAGGGCGACTAAGATGATCAGGGGGCTGGAGCACCTCCCCTATGAGGACAGGCTGAGGGAGTTGGGCTTGTTCAGCCTGGAGAAGAGAAGGCTGCGGGGTGACCTCATTGCAGCCTATCAATACCTGAAGGGAACCTACACCCAGGAGGGGAGTAAACTCTTCAGAAGGGCTGATAACAGCAGGACTAGGGGAAATGGATCCAAGTTGAAGGAGGAAAGATTTAGGTTGGATGTTAGGGGGAAGTTCTTCACAAGGAGAGTAGTTAGGCCCTGAAACGGGCTGCCCAGGGAGGTTGTGGATGCCCCGTCCTTGGACGTGTTCAAGGCCAGGTTGGACGGGGTCCTGGGCAACCTGATCTGAATGTGTATGTTTGGTGGCCCTGCTAGGCAGGGGGGTTGGAACTACATGATCCTTGAGGTCCCTTCCAACCCAGGTGATTCTGTGATTCTGTGAACCCAGGTTTTCCTTTCTCACTTAAAAATGAGAGTGATGATTCATTTTTCCAAATCACCAGAGACTTTGCTTGACAGCCATGAATTTTCAAATATGATGGAGAGTGATTTAGCAACCACATCAACTGCTCCTTCCAGACCTGGGATATATGTCATCTGGCTGCATAGATTTGTAATGTTCACTCTTACAAGACAGCATTAGACTTATTTTTCCCAGTGGGAGGGATTTGGCTCCCTCAGCTCCAAGCTACATGTTTATTAAGGATGTGAGAAACATGGGAAGCCTGACCACCAGTGAAGACCGAGGCAAAGAACTTTCTGCATATCTCAGCCTTGTCCGTGTCTGCTGTTCCTTCTTGTTGTCAAGGAGAGTGTATCTCAGAGGGTATGCTCTCCTTTGCCTGTCCCTTCTGACCAGCATACCTGTAGAATCTCATAATTTTTTCATGTCCCTCACCAAGTTTTGTTCCATGTATGCCTTGGCTTTCCTAATCCTATCTCTCCACATCCAGATGACACCCCTGGATTCTTCCCAGAGGTGAAATCTCATCCAATAATTCCTTCAACAGTCAGAAATTTGTCGGAACTTCTCCTCAAGTTCAGGATCCCAACTTATCTCCTTGCTAGGCCCCTGTTCCTGAGAATATGAAATCAGCCAAGCATGATCCCTATGGCTCAGACTGCCTCCATTTTTAACCTCTTTAATGAACTCTGCATTGGTGAGCGAGGTCCAGAAATGCTTCACATCTATTTGGACTGCCCAATATCTGGACCAGGAAGTTATCCTCAATTATTCCAGTCCCCTGGATTGCTTACAGCCTCCTGTGTTGCTTTCTCAGCAGACCTCCATGTGGTTGAAGTCTCCTATCAGGATGAGAGCCTGTGAGCATGATGCTTCTTGTAGTTGAAGCAAGAAGGCCTGATCCACAGGCTGCCTTCAGCTGGTGGCCTGTAGTAGATCTGATCACCAGAAGTTTTTCATTGGTCTGATCCTTCATTTTTACCCACCAGCTCTTAACCTGACCGTGACTGTTTCCTTAACATGGAGGATGCTTCCACACCCCTCCTTCCCTGTTCTTCTCTTCTGAAATACTTGTAGCCCTTGGTTATAGTGTCTCACTTGAGCATTTCATCCTACCACGTCTCCATGACAGCAATTAGGTCATAGCTTTTTAATTGTACCACGGCTTCCAGCTCCTCCTGTTTATTCCCCACTCTTTGTGGTGATGTGGCGGCACTTCAGTGGGGCCGTCAATCAGCCTTGTTACCTTCTTGGAGGAGCATAGTTCCTTCATGACAGTTCAGAGCCTTTCCTCTGCTGCTCCATAGAGTGATAGTGATGGTGTTCGCTGGCCCTTCTCTGTCACTGAGAAGTACATACCTTTTCCCTATCAAATGTAGTTTAAAGTTCTGGTCGTCAGCCCAGCCAGCTTTCTGTACAGAATATTCTTGCCCCTCTTTGTCGGTTGTGCCCTATCCTACATCTACATACCCAGTGTCTGGTGATATTTCCAAAGTAATGAAACGCCAAGTGTGACAGCATCCACACAGCAATTGTGCACCTCACCTGTGCATCTCCTTTTTCCTGGGTCCCAGTCTCAAGCTGGGATGGTAATGGAGAACGCAACCTGCAGTCCCAATCCCTTTGACATCCACCTGAGGGAAATAAAGTTTCTTGATATTTTGTAGTTCTCATTGTAGCCTCATGTTACCCAGCTTGAAAGAGCAGCAATGGGTAATATCCTCTGGCTTTATTAGCCTTGGAGCTTCCTCTTGCTGTCATGAATGCAGGTCTCTGGCAGACAGCAAACTTATCTGGAGAGATTGTCCAGGTGGCAAATGCGTACCTCAATGTCTCTGAGCGAGGAGTCTCCAATTATTAACAACTTTTGCCTTTTTTTGGTGACACTGGATCTAATAAAGGTATTTGGTTGGTCCAGTTCAGTGTGTCTTCCTGCATCTGCACTCCAACCCATGCCGTCTACTCTTTGCTCCCAGTCTCCTATTTGTTGTTGGGTCATTTTAGGGGCTGTGGGGAGGCTCCTCTGCTTCAACCAAAGCCCAGGGTTCAGTCTCGCCATCCTAAGTGTTGCCATCTGCCATCTTGCCATCTGCCTCCTCAAGGTTGGAAGCTTGCTTTACCTTCTGTCCTTTGCAGGGACTTGAGGCAGTGCTGTTGTTCTGCCCATGTCACCGCATGATACCATCTTCATATGACATCATGATGTTTTTCTCTCAGATTCCTGGACACTTCTCTGTCTGGTAATTTCCTCTCCAAACATGTCTGGCTGCTTGAACACCTGTACCTGTGACACATCCCTCTGTCCTCATGCCCTGGCTTGCC